ATGAGATTTCCACTATTTTCTGTGTTTTATTGAAGGCCAATCTGTTGGAAATCCTATGAAAATTACCTTTCCCAGAAAAATTTTCTTTAGCTCAGCCCATTCAACTGTGGTTTCAAATTTAATTGTAACATACTATTATTCAATAGATCCCCGTTGCTACAACTGTTCTATACCAGTTTCAAATACTGAAGCTTGTTTAGAAGTTGAACATAAAAAATTTCGACCAATATGCCACACATGTAAGATGTATTATCTAGATACATATCCAAATTTGAAATTTACAAACTTTAAAAATGAGTATTATTCCCTTTCCTATTCATGTATTTGGTGTTCTTTTGGTTGTTCCGAAACATATTGTGCTGAAAAAATATTGGAGCATGAAATCAAGTGCTTTCGTCAACCACTGCAGCAATGTCCTGTTCCATATTGCAAATTCCGTTTGAAACTTTTCAATTTGGAAGAGCACTTCAGAGAAACTCATCCTTATGTAGCAATAAAATTGGACCCGAGATTTCAAATTCTTTTCCCAAATGAGATTTCCGCTATTTTCCATAAGCAATGGTACATTTGGGTTCAGCATGCTTTTGCTGTCTTGAAAATCTCGCAACAGAATAAAAAATGGAGAGTTCATATTGAAGCACTTGGTAGCTTTCGTTATGAACCAAGACTTTTGATGATACAAAATGGATTAAAATTTTCCATCAAGAATTCTTCATGTGAGTTTGAAGGATCATGTTTTCCAAACATTTTGTGCTATTTTGGAGATAATCATCTTCTTTAGTGGTTCTGAAAAATCTACCTATGAAACATTTATTAAGTTCTTAAAATTTAGTTTTCACTGTGTATACAGGATCTGTCTAAAGTAATAGAACCCTTACACTTTCTGAAAAAAAAAAAGGAAAATCAATATCATTTCTTAGTTCTATAATCACCAATCATTTTTCATTTTATAAGAAAATGAAAAAATTACGTCACTACCATTGAAACTTACCCCCCCCCTTTTAAACCGCGTTACAAAATTTATGATTTCTGTAAAGCAAGAAAAGTATATAAAGTATTTGAATGAATATATGGCATAACTATTCAGTAAGTACTACTCATTCAAACCTCTAATGAAATTCCACATATAATTGTTTCATAATATGAAATGCTTCTCAATTTCGGAACAAACCATCGACACCAAAAAACGTTGTCAATGTCGCTCGTACTCTCAGAATAAAAAAATGAAATAATGTATTATGAAGTTTTACCGTGTTGGCAGGTTCATATCAAATCTTAATGACGTCATGATCATTATTTTTAATCGATTTTGAAAGAACTATGATGCTATCCCAATATCATTGTAAAGACTCATTTAGTAGTATTAGTAATAGTTCCAAGATACGATTCGTTATGGTATTTTATGAAGAAATGTTGAAAACATTTTTAGGTTGATTTTGTTATCAGATTACCTTTCTGGTGTCTGGAGTTTTTGTATAACGCTTAGTCTTAAATTACTCCTCAACCTACTTTAATATGGAGTGTTTAACTTTTCATTTTATAGTTTTAGGATATTACTGTTGCTTTTGAATAAAACTACATTTGTATAAAACTACTTTATTGGATGTAACCTAGCATTAGTATATTTGTGGGTAGACCAATAAAAAAATATACAATATTCTTAGTTTAATTTCTACCTAGTAACAAAACATTTTAGGCACAACCTGTAAGTCAAGTCAAAAATCAACAACGATATCACCACTACAAATTAAAAGGGAGCTCGCAACACAAAATGCAATGATAAAATTTTCAACAGAAAACAAATCATTTAGAATCGACAATTCTACAGATATCGAATTAGTAATTAATATTCATTCTAAAATCAGTGTTCTTTTCTGAGCGCGTTTTTTAAAACACTTTCAAAAAACAAATTTTGTCATTTGAGCAACACTTATTTTAAATCTGAAATTAGTCAGTTCAGAAATTTTCACATTTTTGGGGCTCAAATTCCCCAACACCCACGAATATTAGTGAAGGGCTGGTACAGAAATTTTGCTATATTGTATAAAAACAAAACATCACAGGAAATGAACTGCGACAAACTCCTCTTTTGGTTCATTTTCGCGTTTTTTAACACTTCAATAATAAGGCATTTGTAATTAAGACGATGAAAGTACAGAAGACGATAAATTCTCCAACAAAAAAAGTTATTACGAATGAATCAACATGCACTGTTGAAACAGAAAAACATTACAAAACAATTGTTCAAATAAAAAAATATGACTTGAAATTCCTGAATTATATTTTTTACAGCATTTCAATGCAGCATTCCAGCTTATATTGAATATTTTGCAAGTCGCAATATGGAATGTGATTGAAAGCAAACAAATTGTGAAACTGTCATCAGAATTCTTGTATTGAAATCAAATTACACACAGTTGATTGATTTCAGAATAAAATTCATATTACTTGGATTGAGACTGTTAGTGTTACCAGAAGTGTATGAACTCGCCTGCAGAATATATTGCATGTGTTGAGGCTCTCAACTATTGTCATTTTCGAATGATTTGTACAAATTATTCAAAAACGACAATAGATAAAAGCCTCAACACATGCAATATCTTTTGCAGGCTAGTTCATACACTTCTGATAAAGCTATTTGAACATATGTAAATTTTGCAAACTATTACATGAAATCTCAAACGAAAGTGCCCCGGTTTTTGTTGAATAACAGAAGAGTATAGTCGAATGGATTGGGGCAAAAAAGATATCTTTCTTAATTCAAATATATTGTAACTAAAAGCATGATTGAACAATTGTGAAAAATTGTCAAAACTGCAACAAAAATTGAAAATTTGCAATATTGAATGTGATTCAAAGCATACAAACTGTGATATTGTTGTCAGAATCCTCATTTTGAAGTCAAATAACACGGTTGATACATTTTTTAAAATAAAATTCATAGTATTAGGATTGACACTGTTAATGTTTTCAGAAAAGTATAGTATAGAATAACTCGCCTGCAGAAAAGGTGGAATGTGTCGAAGCTTTTATCTATTGTCATTTTTGAATAATTTGCAAAAATTCTCAAAGGGTGTAAAGTCAAATGTCATGGTTATTTTAAGCTTGTCCTTACAGACTTCAAATCAGGGAAGTTGCCATCTTTTTTGGGAAGAACAAAATTACTATACCAGAGAATAACAACACTTGAATTTTTGTAAAATTATAGCTTTGGAATAATTTTCTGTAAATTAGGAATGATTTACTTATTTAATTGAAAATATGTCGAACCAGAATTTTCACTCTTTTTTTGACGAAATTCTTAAATGGAGAGTTTGCAATTTTATTTTAGAAAACTAAAATTATAGCCTTTCACTACATTATTGAAAAATAGTATATCCTGTTTTGTGCATAAACAAATCATCATTTGAACACAATTTTTGACTTGTGGACTGGAATTTGGAAAATTGTGGAAGAAAAAGTATATGTTTTGACAAAAATCTGTCTAAAAAGTTCATTTAATAAATAAGTTTTTCAATTTTCGTTGCAATTTTAACAATTTTTCACAATTGTCAAATCATGCTTTTAATTACAATATCTTTGAATTAGGAAAGATATCTTTTTTGCCCCAATTCATTCGACTATACTCCTGTGCTATTTAACAAAAACCGGGGCACTTTTGTTTGAGATTTCATGTAATAGTTTGCAAAATTTACATATGTTTAAATAGCTTTATCAGAAGTGTATAACACAGTATAAACTCGCCTGCAAAAAATATTGCATGTGTTGAAGAATAAATGAAGATGAAGTTTGAAGCAATGATGAAGTTTTTATCGATTATCATTTTTAGGTTTATACACATTTACAAATTTGTACAAATTATTCAAAAATGACAAGAGATGTGTATTATACACTTCTGAAAACACTAACAGTCTCAACCCAAACACTAATTATGCTGACGATACTAACCTATTGTTGACAGGTGCAAACTCACCACACATAATAATAGAAAGGACAAAAAACTTTTTTCTGGGAAATAAATTGATTTTAAATGATGCAAAACAGATTGCGTCGTGTTCAAAATTGATAACAGCATGGAGACACCGAAGAGGCATCACTTTCAATGATTGTAGAGTGACCTGCAACACCTCTGTGAAGTTTTTGGGTATATATATCGACGACACCTTAAGATGGGTGAATCAAATAGACAATCTCTGCAGAAAACTTTCTTCAACTACATATGCTATGAGGATTCTCAAAAAAAAAAACGTTGACAGTAATGTTCTGATAACTGCCTACTATGCTAATTTCTACGCTGCAAAAGGTTTGGTATTTTCATTTGGGGATCCAGTCATGAGCTGAACAGAGTAGTTCTCTGCCAAAAAAGGGTAATCAGAATACTTTTTGGTATAAAGGTCAAATATGATTGAACCCTGTGAACACTGACCAGAAAACTTTTTTCTTCACTCCAACTATTTAATTTAAATATCAGGTAATTCCAGTTGGGAAGATCGAGAGTTATTTTCAGTCTTAACTGATGGGTTAAAATTTTGTCATCATTTTTCAAGAAATGGAAAACTCCAAACATTTCTCATACACTGAAATGAGACCTCAAAACTCCTTTTATAAAATCAAATAGTCTTGGGTTAACCCAAAGACACTTTAGAGAAATGTTTGATCAGTCCAAGATTTTTGTAGAACTATTTTAAATCGGTTTGGACGAATGACGAATCAAAAAATTGATGTATCTCATGACTCCAAGTTTCCAAATCAAAATCATTGAGAAGTACTTTCAATATCCAAGCAGATTCAACAGAGTTACTAGCATTTGCAATCATATTCATAAACAAAAACCAAAAAACTTGGAAAACTCGAAACATTTCTCATACACTGAAATGAGACCTCAAAACTCCTTTTATAAAATCAAAACTTCTTTTATAAAATCAAATAGTCGTGGGTAAACTCAAAGACACTTTAGAGAAATGTTTGGTCAGTCCAAGATTTTTGTAGAACTTAAGTATCATCAAGTTTCCAAATCAAAATCATTGAGGAGTACTTTCAATATCCAGGCAGATTTAACAGAGTCACTAGCATTTGCAATCATATTCATAAAAAACTTGGAAAACTCGAAAAATGTGTCATACACTGAAATGAGACCTCAAAACTCCTTTTATAAAAATCAAAACTCCTTTTATAAAATCAAAACTCCTTTTATAAAATCAAATAGTCGTGGGTTAACTCAAAGACACTTTAGAGAAATGTTTGGTCAGTCCAAGATTTTTGTAGAACTATTTTCAATCGGTTTAGACAAATGCTAAATAAAAAAATTAAGAAGTATCATCAAGTTTCCAAATCAAAATCATTGAGAAGTACTTTCAATATCCGGGCAGAATCAACAAAGTCACTTGCATTTGCGATCACATTCATACAAAACAAACATTAAACGTACAGAACAAGAGCAGCACACCGCAAAACGAGAAGTATTTTCATAAATGCATGCTACGTGATTTAACGACAGCCTTCGGTGAGTTGGCGCCCGTTATCCTGAGCCAAGACTTGGACGGAGTGCTGGTCCTTCGCGGCTGGTCCAGGTCGAAGGAAGAATTTAGGGAGACGTTCAGGAAGACCTTTGATTTGGGTTTGTGGCTATTCCAGCTGAAAAATTCAATACAATTCAATATTTATTTTGGTTCTACAGCTATGACCATCTGATGATGCCAACTAAGTAGGCGAAACATTGAGTAGCTTTCAATTCAAAAAAACAACAACTTATTTTTTTAATTAGGTAAGGGTTGTTATGTAAACGATGAGGGACATATAGGTCAATCGATTTCTGTTGAACTGAAGTCTTTTTGATTTCTTTCAGCGAAAAAAATACGAAAAAAATTCGAAATACTTTCAATTGTTGAGGAAGCAATAAGTTTATTTGTTGAGGCTAAAGAGAAATATGAGGATATTTTGGACATCCACACAAACATAAGTTTCTCTAAAATGTTATTTTTCGAAATACCCATGAAAAAAACCCCTTCCTGAAACACCTCTCGTCTCACCTCTCTCTCTCCTCAGTGGAGTACAAGCTCACGGTGTGATGCCATTTGTAAATATTTGGATATTTCTTACTATCTAATTGCACTTCCGCATAACAGAGGGCGTTGAATACTTCACAGTCTAGTTTCGTAGGGCAATCCCTGAAAAATATATCAGTAAAAATCAAACAGTGACAAAGAATCAATGAACGAGCCTAACCCGGGGGCAACCTCAACTCACCCTTCTAAAAATATGTCGTGCTTTGGTAGTTCTGTGTCATTGAATTCATCGTCAGAATCCGATTCGCATTCCAATAAGCTAGGACTAGAGGGAGGCGTATAAAACTTGTCTTCATCCAAGTCTGGATCTTCATCAGTACTTATTTCTACGTCGTCGTGGCCATTGCTCAGTTTATATCCGTTCGGAACTGAAATAAAAGGTTCATAATGGAATAGAAAATTCATATAATAACTGCAAAAATATCATACGGCAAGAAAAACAAACCTCGATCATTTGTAATAGCAGGAAAAATTTTAAATTACAATTTTGTTGAAATGTAGCGCAAATATGCATTCTTTTGTCCTCAGTCTACCAATCATAATTGATTTTTTATAAAATATTATAACCTCAACGTTTTCCAACATATCTTACATGCAAAATCGTTCATTAGCCACGTTAATGAGCCGCACATTCCACAAGTTTGACAAACACAAGAGTAGGTGCAAACATATCAACAGCAAGCGGAATATATAAACTAATCTGTCGTCAACTTATTGAATACTCGCACCCACTATTTCTCAATATCAAACAAAGGGCCTTGAAAACAATTAAAGTATCTGAAACAACGGCTATAAGGAAAATAACAAGATTAAGGCATCCCAATAACCCCAAACACAACCCTCCAAACCCTCTGCTGTGAATCATTTTCTGAAAAACTGGAATAGCAACTCAAATTCTGGAAGGTGAACTTAGTACCATTACTGGAAACTTGACCACAATTTGAAAGTTTTGAGTGAGGAACACACAAGCAGAAATAATAATAATAATAGTCCCTTTTCTTCTCACATAAATTGTACACTTTATATTTGTGACCATGAGCTAATAGACAGGAGAAAAGGTTCATTTCATTTGGAGACAAGACCTCCAAGGAAACATTCTTCCACTTAACCTCAAAAATGCTGCCCTAACTTTAGCAACCTTATTGAAATATTAACATCATTACATATTCTTCCACGAATGATTTCAAGTTTATATAGAAAAAAAACAACGAAAAAGGGAAAAAAGTTCAGATTGGACAAGAAGATATTTCTTGTAGTTTAATTTGAATTTTGTGAACGATAGAAGTTCAAGTTCCAGGGGTAAGAGTTGTATATGGTACATATTTGACGTGAAAAACAACGTTTGAAAAATTCAGTTTTAAACTTTGGTGGCGTTAATGTACCTCTCAATTTTACATTATGAATATCAGAGCGAAATGTGTTTTTTTTTTGGTAATTATAATTTTGTGGAACAAACATGAAAAAGTCTTCTTGTGTAGACGTTACTACGTGGTAGGAAATCATAATGAAGAAAAGAGAATTGAAACTTTCCATATTTTTTAGCACTTTTATTTGTCACTAAGGTTACTTACTGCAGTTTCGTCCTTTAAGGACATTTTCAAACTTATATATGTTGAGTTATGGCTGGGAATAGCTAGTTCGTTACATTGTCTGGTGTTAATATGCATATTATTCGAATATTGACCACTATTTCTGGGAAACAGGTATGGATAGTTTTTTACGAAACAGACAAGATCCAAGAAGTACAACGAGGGACTGTCAAAATATCAAATTTACAGAAGAACCCTTTACAAGATCTTTTTTGATCGAAATTTAGGATACATCTCAGGATTCTTTTTTGACTAACAAATATTTTTTGTGAATATACTGAATAACCCCAAAATATAATACGATATGAAATCAATGACTGCACATGTGCATAGTAATATGTTCTCAGGCTACAAACAGAGACTTGATCCCTTAAGTATCGTATCACACCACGAATAGAGCTTAATCTGTTATTCAATAAATTTATATGGGTTTGCCAAAAATTATATTGAAAGAATGACCTTGAAATAAGTGGTTAAATTTTGTCATTATCTCAATTTGGTACATTTTCAGTCACTTATCTATATGCAGCCGATTCTATAATGCCTTATCGAAAGTGAACGAATAGACTCACCAGCAGGGGGATCTCCATCATCGAAACTCAGCCTCCTCGGTATATTTTCGTCCTCGTTCTTGAGCGGAATCCTCCCGCTGTTCTTGAAACTCGCGCTCCTCGACAAGCTATTCCTCTTGTTCGACTTCCTCGCGTGGTACACGCACCCGCACGCCTCCGCCTCCTCCCAATCCCTTAGGCACTCGTCTCGCGACCCGCCATCCCCCTCGAAACTCCTCGACAGCCCGTTCAGCACGTAGTGGAGAAGGCAAATCAGCTGCTTCTTGCGCATCGTCGGTTTGCGCAGCTCCGAGGTCGGTTCGCGCATGTCGCGATGACCTTCATCATCCGAAGAGAAACAATCGACGCTCTTCGCGGCCGCGTCGAAGAGATTTTCCAGTCGGGCGCGCAGAGATGCACAGATCTCATCTTTCGCCCAAGCGCACATCTTCCGGCCGATGAGGAGACCGATACGCGAGTGGATTTTCTGGAAGTTGACGAGCGCGAATCGCGCGTCCTCCATGTAGCTCGTCGTCAGTAGTTCTAACTGCTTCACTTGCGTCTCGAGGTTTTGTAGGACAGTGCCTTCGTCGCAGAATACGTTGAGGATGTCGTTCGAGATGCGGTTGGCGAATACCTGATAACAATGATTAGAAAGTGAGACTTGTATATGGGGTCTTACAACAGGAACTTCCGAACTTTGACAATTGATAACGGCCATCTTGTTGAAGCTACATCTGTCAAATTAGTTGTCATACAGCCTTTTGCCCAACCTAATCAAAATAACACATGCTGAGAAAGGTTTCGACTTTCTTCTTCTCCATCTTTATACAAAGAAATGAAGTCTTCCAAAGAAAGGAGAAAATTGAAATAAACGAAAAATACTTTTTCCAATTCAGTTTTTACCCCAAACAATAAATATAGAGTCGAATCAGATATCATTCATGGGATTGCTACACAATATAGTGAATGGAAGAGATACAATTTCACTTAGATGGAACACTGTCATCCTCAATGGTGGACATTGGATGTTTCGGAATAAGACATTATTGCCTCTTCAGCACCAATTTGAATAACATTACAAGCACTCAATTCATTCATAAAATTATGACTTTATGTCATGGACGAGTTAAATCTACTCATGTCATCAATGACAGTACGTAGCAACATCTATTCGCTTATTTGATTCAATCCCAGCCAAAGGAATCCTGTTTAAATCGAAAGGGGTATATTCTGAGAAGAGATACATTTTTGTTATTCAATATTTACATGAAAGTTGTTGTTAGGAGAGGGCTGTGTCTTTCAGTTGTGTTTGTTTCTTTGCATGATCTACACATCTTTGTGAAGAGTTCATTTCGAAAGTAACTGCTTTCTTCTTTTCTTTGAAAGATATCCACATTGTTCTGTATAAAGATGAAAAAGTAGAAAGCTCAAACCTTTCTATATGGCCCTTTCAATTCAATACATGGTGATTGTTAAATGTTACCTTGGAAACCAATAAAAAAATTAAAAAGATTGATAGATAGATATATATCCTTTATTAGTTCTTTTTAATAAAAAACCTTTTCAGGTGTAGAACATGTCAATTACAGTAAATATTACAGAAATAGCAGAAAATCATGAGGCAATATCATTAATTTTGATTAAGAATATAAATGGCCAATGATGTATGAATAACAAGATTATTAAGTATAAAATGTAATATTATTATATTAGATACAGAACACGAACATATACAACTATAGGTAGGGTTCAAAAGAGACAAAATTACATTACAATGCAGAACGATACGACATGAAATATTCAACGCGAACAACATCAGTTCAAATTATCATTGAAGAACTCTTACAGCGAATAATAAGCTTTGGAAAGAAGCAAAGTTTTCAATTTATTCTTCATTATCATAGAAGACAAAGTTCTAAGAGATTCAGGTATCTTGTTATAAATATTAATGATTGAAAAAGGTATATTTTTTTGAAAATAGGTCAAATGTGTCTTTATATTCAAAAGTTAATTTTTGTTTCGTGTGTTGTGGGTATGGTTCCTATTACGAGTCGCAAAAAGAGATATATTTTCTTTGACAAATACCACAGATTCATAAATATAGAGACTTGTTAGTGTTAATATTTTTTCTCTACGAATATTTTTTACAGCTTCTCTCTGAGAAAGTTTGAATATTTTTCTGAGACACCGTTTTTGCAATATGAATATTTTTTGTGTATGTGCAGACATTCCCCAGAACATAATGCCATATCTGATGTGACTCTAAATATAACCATTATATGCTAACATTGTAGCCTCAGTGGATATATTTTGTGAAATTATTTTCAGGGCATAGCAGTACCTTAACATTTGTGTTGCCACTTTATTTATGTGGCTCTTCCAGTCTAGCTTTGAATCAATTATATTTCCAAGAAAGGAAAGTTGGGTTACTAGTTCTAAAATAGTTACACCATCACTAAAATTATTATTTGTGCCGTTTTGGGTAAAAGATATGATTTGTGTCTTGTTTTTGTTCAGTTTGAGATTGTGTGATGTAAAGTACTCCAGAATCTTTAGTTCGAAAAAGATATTTGCCTGTAGGTAGTTGTGATCGGTTGAACTGAAAACCACAGAACAGTCATCTGCATACTGAACCATGTATTCATCAACAACTTCAGGCACATTGTTTGTGTAAAGAATGTATAGTAGTGGGCCCAACACTGACCCCTGGGTTACACCTCTTACAAGTGTAAAGAATGTATAGTAGTGGGCCCAACACTGACCCCTGGGTTACACCTCTTACAATATATAGTATTTCTGATTTCATTAGATTTCCATCAGTATCCCTTTCAGTAACACTTTGCTGTGTACCTCTGATACCGTAGAACGACAGTTTTGTGATCAGTAATTTATGGTCAACACTGTCAAAAGCCTTGGACAAGTCCAGATCGACAGCTGTTGTAGCCTTTTTACTATTGATAGATTCAATTACCTTACATAGAGCTTGATAGTTAGCTCGATTAGTAGATTTCTTTCTATTAAATCCATTCTGCATATCACTTAGATTATTATTCTCTAGATACGTGATCAGTCTGTTGTACATTATTTTTTCAAAGATTTTACTAACATTTGACAATATTGCAATGGGCCTTTAGTTGATTATTTCTTGTTTATTTTCCTTTTTTAAGATAGCTTTGACATGTGCAATAGTAATTTCTAATTTGAAATCAATGAGGTCATGTTAGTTTGAGGAAATAACCCCGTGAAGTAATCAATCACCCGCATAAAGAGTGTCACACCTACCTGGCACGCCTTGTCCAAATAATTAATAGAATCGCTGTCGCTGATACGGTCCAATTTGACGGAAGGCTGAGGCTCCGCACTGTCGCTCAACCGACAACTCGAAAATGCCAAGCACAAATTCGACACGGGACTCAGCACTTCATCCCCGTTCAACTCCTTAGCCCCCTCATTAGAATCTTCTGTCCTAGAATTTTCCGGGTCGGCCAATCTCTCCTGCAAGTACTTCTCCAAGGCATCCAACCCCTCTTCGGAGGAAATATCCAGGAAACTACCGAGGAAAGGCCAGTACTCTTTCCAATTGACGTCGAATTCATTGGCGAGGCGCTTTCCAATCCTCTCGAGCCCCTTTCGTGGGTCTTTGAAACGCAGCGAAGACACGTTCAGCAGGTCCTTTGGTGTTTTGTTGGGCGAATTGAAGTGTAGCGAGCGAGGGGGAGTCTTCCATACCCTGCGGAACTCCCGGGCGTTCTTCTGATCCATCGGGCCAGCATACGCGTGGATTTCCAGGCGAGGGGTTAGCGGGTTCGAATTCAGCACCTGGAAGGACAGTTTATGTTCAAAAATGATGAGAGAGTTCTCTTTTCAAGTCTCCCTATACCGAGGCTCTCAAAATAACGAGAGTACTACATGGGCTGAAAAGTCTCGGGTCTAACACATAGATGGCGCTAGCCACAGACAACAATTAAAGGTTGGTTTGTTGACTTTAAACGTGGTTATAGAGACACCGATGATGTAGAACGCAGTGGACGTCCAAATGAGGCAGTAACAGAAGAAAATATAAAAATAATCCACAAAGTTGTTTTGAATGATCGAAAAGTGAAGTTGCGTGAGTTAGCTGACATTGTAAAGATATCAAAAGAACGTGTTGGCTTTATATTGCATGAGCATTTGACTATGGGGAAGCTCTGTTCAAATTGGGTGCCGCGCGAGCTCACTGTTGACCAAATATAAGTACGTCTTGATGATTTTGAGCAATGTTTGGCCATGTTAAACATAACAACCCAAAATTTTTGCATCTATATGTGACAATGGATGAAACATGGATCCATTACTTCACTCTGTAATCAAAACGACCGTCATCTGAGTGAAGAGCAATTGGTGAACCTCGCCCAAAGCGCCTGAAAGCACAACAATCGGCTGGAAAGGTTATGGCTTTTGTACTTTGGGATGTGCGTGGTGTAATATTCATCGATTATCTTGAAAAGGTAAATACCATCAGCAGTGGATATTATACGGCGTTATTGAAGCGTTTGAAGGCTGAAATTGCAAAGAAACGACCCCATATGGCAAAGAAAAAAATCTTGTTTCATCAAGACAATGCACCGTGTCACAAGTTAATCAAAACAATGGCAAAACTACATGAATTGAACTTCGAATTGCTCCCACATCATCGGTATTCGCCAGATTTCACTCCCAGCGACTACTGGCTGTTCGCAGACCTCAAAAAATGCTCAACGGTAAATTTTGCTTAAATAAAGGGGTTATTGCTGAAACTGAGGCCTACTCAGTTTTAGCAATAACCACGTTCTACAAAAGTGGTATAGAAATGTTAAAGTGGCGTTGGATTGTGTGGCTCGTGATATAGATTACGTTGAAGATTAAAGTCAATTTTAAACAAAAAAAAAAAGGTTTTCTTTCTTTAGCCCGGTAGTTTTCAGCCCATGTGTCAATCCCATTCCCTAAAAAAGAAAAATATGATAACTTTTTTTTGTATTGAAAATATAACAACATAGTTAAGACACTATAAATATAATATATGTTGTTATTCTCCCTAATCAGCAAAAATGCTGGTCTCGGGATTCACAAACATCCAACATGACAAGTGAAACACAAAAGTAGTAAACCACTACAAAGCTCATAGTATCAACGTATCAGACATGTGCCTTGAGGCTCAGATGTTCTTTTAAACTATTGATGAATTAACTATAGCCCGGCAACTCACGTATATGGACAGGTAATTCATTGAAGACTTTTATAGCCTAAGTAAAAGGATTGTATAATCCTTTGTTCGTTCTTACGATGCTCAGGTGTAAGTCATTTCTACCCCTTTTATAATACTCATAAAACTGGTTGTTGACTAGTAGATCGTTGTTGCTTTTGATTCTTTTGTTTTTTATTTTATATATATATTCTTGCACTGTTCAAGTTTAAGTAGATATTTAATTGGGTGTAGTTCAGTCTGTGAGAATGAATAAAATTAATAAATTGTGTGGGTTCGAAATGGAATTTGAAATAAAATTTTTATTGATTTATTTTGTAGCGTTTGAATTTTTTTGAAATTAGTAATGCCACAATTACCCCATATGATTAACAGATATCTAAGATTCGCCAATATATATGCATTGTAAACCAAGTATCTGTTACTGAAACTCAAGTAACTGGAACACCTATATCTTAACATTGGTACAATTTTATCATTATTATGTTCTGTGTCCTGACCAGTTTAACTTATCATCTATTATGAGTCCCAAATACTTGGTTTTTGCAACATTCATTAAGGGTAAGTTATTTATTCTCAATTCGATATTTCCAAAAATTCTATTATTTTGTTTGAATAGCATGTAAACGGTTTTTGCAGAGTTCACCTTAAGTTTATTATGTGCAGATCTTCGTTAACTGTGTTCTTCAGTAAATGTAAATCATATCCACTGTACAAAAGGACCGTGTCATCGGCGTGACAGTGCCATCAGTGTATAGAACAGGGGCCCCAAAACGGAACCCTGTGGTACGCCACAATTATTTTTTATATGCTCACTCATGCTCTTGATCTTTTCTTTAAAAATGTCTCAATGAGAGAATAAGTTTTGCCCCTTATACCCATGCAACATAGTTTGTTCAGAAGAACAGTATGGTCAACAACGTCAAATGCCTTTCTTAAATCAACAAACACTGCAAAAACCATTCTTTTTTTTATCCAATTCCTAATAAGAGACATACGAATTTTTGAACTGAATAGTTCAAAATTATCCCAGAAAAGCATGGATTCTGTAAATAAAAATATACATCTGAGATGTAGATGAGCCAAAGTTTTTATTTGTGCAATAAAGGCGAGTAAAAACTCAGCAAGGATTTATTTTTACCACAGAAAAATAATTTGAAATCATAACCCCCATCCCAACGGTAGTAAAATGTCAGGTGACAGAAACGTCCTAACCCTTGAAAAGTATTTTCGATGAAATAATAGACATTCCCACATTCTTCCTATACTCCAAATCAACACTTTACGCTAATGATCCTTCTAACGCGTTTCAAAAGAATCTCAATCAACAAACATGCAATAACTTCATGTGAAAATGAAGCATTTTTACGTAAATTTTGTCCGACCTTGATATGTTTTTTTATTCTTTACATAATATAACACTGTATATAATCATGTTAAAAAATGTTTTACTGTTGTCAAATACCATTTCCTAAAAGTCATCTTCATACATATTTTTAGCAATATCTCAGTGTTGTATTTTTATTTTTTATCCTGTTTGTATGTCTTATGTCAACTTATCATTGTTTTCAATAGAATTTGTTATCAATAACATATCAACAAAAAGTAAGATATATTTCCTGGAAGCCATTATATCATTATATATTATTATACTGGAAGGTGTCAAAAACTGTAATAATCATTTTTAGAATTCATCCATTCAAGTAAATTTAGAGTTTCATATGTGAATTATGAAAAAAAATCTCTAGATGTAGGAAAAATGAAATGAAAATAAGTTGATCGTTCGATGTTTCCGAGTTTATTAGCCGTGGTCTGCAGGCTTTTATACCTGACGTTTCGTCTGTTACTGCAGCAGACATGATTAAAGGTGATGCGTTAACAGTCAAAGTGATCTACCTTGCTGCGATATCTGTTTAAAATCTGTTTTTCCGTTAACCAGCTGTCGCACCCCTATGAACGACAACCCTCAGGAGTCCAGGATTCAAGGTTAGTAAGGAGCGTGTTACAGGGATAGTCTGTTTAATAGATCAGGTTATTGTCAAGAAGTGAATAATGGTGGTCATTTTGAACATTTAATTCAATTGTAAAAATTAATTTTCTCAGTTATGATTGCACCAAACTTAAAAAAACTTCATATTGCTGAACAGAGGACTAAAATCCCTTCCCAAAAAGGTACCACACGACCCCCTTTGTTATTTAAAATTTTCGAGGGGGTGCTTGTAATTCAGAAGGGGTGCTGGAGGGGGATAATATTTTCATACTGTAAATTGTCAATTTAAGAATAAAAATCGACCTGTTTCAGGTTTTTTTCACATAGTACATAATAACGCTAAATAAGAAGAACAAATTGTTAGAAGTCTTAACACTATTCAACTTAATGCACCAAAACTTGAATTTTTGATTTTTGATAACTTAACCATACAAAAAATAATTTTTAGTGGAGACACTGATAAACTGATAAAATCATCCTCAAAAATATGATGTGTGTGTGTGTGTGTGTAATTTGTGTTTTTTGTTGAAACTTTTCATTTGAATAATCTTAATGTCATCACATACTTATAAAATAGATTTATTCAACCATGTTTTTTATGAAATTTATGAAATATTTAGTCACTATACGGCCCTGAATACTTTTTTTAACCATATTATATGTATTAACAAATCACATACTTTTATGTGATAACATAGATGAATAAAGATATATATTATCTTCTTTCCACTTTTACATGGACTATGTACATCAATCCAAAATAAACCTATAGGAGAATATCCATATATGAATTATATACAATTAAGAATCACAGATAATTAAAATGCAGGCCAAATACTGAAATGACAACTTAATAATAATCCTACACAAAATGAACACTTACCAAAAAATAGCAAACAAGTGCCATAACCACTTATCGCAAGTTAATTTTTATAGATGAACTTTTTGTATGTTCGGGGAAATTGTTGTAATGAATTTTGCCAATAACAGAAGTGAGAACAAAATAAAATTTTCAACTGTGATTTGGCAAGAGTGCATTAGAACAAACTGTCACTTACCGGTGGTTTTGATGGAGAAAACGGCTCTCCTATTAGTGGCGCCATGCTATTATCCTCAGCCCTCAAAACTGGAACGTAATAGCTGTCCTTCAATAACATCTCAATTTTTCTCTTAGCTGCTGCTATGTTATCACCTTCCGCCCTTTCGCAAATAATCTAAAACAAACAATGTGAACTGTCTGGATATTTTGTAATTGCAAAAAAATCAGTATTGCTCACCTGCTCAGCCAGTTTGTTGAACTTATTTCTCAGCGTCTTATCACATTGAGGAAAAGAAACCAGGATTTCCACCACTTCTGCGCTGCCATGTTTAGAAGCAAAGTGCAAAGGTGTCTCATTCAGACCCTTGTTAGGGGTATTCAGGTACAAATCGAGAAGAATAGCTGTCCTATCCTCAGCATTTTGCTGATTATCATCTCCGTAGAGGAGCTTGATGAATTCTGTGTTAGATATGGTGCTGAGAATCAGCTCTGCTATTTCCGCGTTCTTTGATTTAGCTGCCACGTGCAAGGCGTTATAACGAGGCCCCTCCTAACAAAGGACATTACTTTTTCAAAATTCAAAGTCAAAATATGCTTTATTGTTGCAAGATTCACATCTTAATGACAAAGCTTGGTCACAAATAAATGGTAAAATAAACCATATCAATCAATCAAGTTATTCATTGAAAACAAAACATTCAACGTTTTTATTTTCATAGTATTGAAAAAACACATGCATCTGAACTGAAAAATAAAAGATATTGAATACATAATTACATATTTGTAAAGTTAGGAAATAAAATAAATGCTTATACTAAATATCAAAAAGTGTAAACTTTGTCAAAGCTATTTTCTGGGTTTTTGGCCATGTTCTGCAGATTGTTTTGCCTGAAGTTTTGTCTACTACTGCGGTAATAGTCCGCAGTAGAGTACAGAAACAGTACCCCACAAAACGATTCTATACGTTGCTATACTATGAAAGTTTGCAAAGTAGACTATTTTGGATGCTTGGTTTGTCAAAATTGTTTTCACTCTATACAATATTCTGCTGAATAAAGCTTTTTACTCAAATTTAGTTTTGAGTTCGTTTATATTCCAAAAAATTTTAGTGACTTTTCCTCTGTATTGTTCTTGTTTGACTGGAATAGGCTTTGGTTTACTACACAAGTATATTTGAAGCAAACCAAATATTCTGTCTATTGTCTTAGATTGCTTTAATCTTTACCTTTCACTAGAAAAGTAATGTCATATGCACATACACTTGTTGCATAAACCTTGATATTTTTGAGGTTGTTTGTGTAGATGATGAACAGACTTGTCCCTAAAATAGAACCTTGAGTCACTCATTGAGTTGTCTGAGATATGTGAATGTATAAGCAGTCACATACATTTTGGGATATTCATTAATGAATTGGCAAAAATCAAATAGAAAAAAAGGACCTAGAATTAATCCTTGTGGAATGCCTTCATTCAAGTAGCTAGTGTTCTAACAATTTCACTGAAGGTTATACAAATAATACAGACCTGTAATATAGAGGGAGTGTCCCCGCTGCTGACAAGGTAACGAGGGTTCTGCCATATTATGTCTCTCACAAATTTAACGTTCCCGTTTTCAATAGCCTTCCTCAACTCGACCAACTCTTGGGGCTTAGGTCCTTTGAAGGGACTCGCCTTTTCGCCAACAGCTTGGCTCGTTTCAGTTTTCGGAACCCCGTTGACTGTTGTGTTGTTATTAGGAAACTCTGAACCGTTCAGGGCGAATTCTAGCGCCTCGTGATAAAACTGAAAAGCCTTAAACCTAGATTTTTTGTTCTTCTTAGCTACTTTCAAAGCTTCCACTTTGTCGTCAAAAACGTTAGGGACACCGTTGTGGTCTTTGTTGTCGTTGGGAGTGAAAACTCCATAATATATCAGGCTCGGGGTGTCCTTCATGTCGGATGATTTTTTTGGGTCCATCGGAGGAGTAATTTTTGTTTAAAATGATTACATTACAGTTATTTTCGGTTAAAACACGTTCACTAAACAATTATACAACTACAAAAACATGCACAAAAAATACTACATTTGTCACGGAGTTTAATAAAGTCTACTGTATTTTGAAGTCAGTTAGTAGTTTCTCCAGTGCTACACGTCCTAATTTTTTGCTTCTGTTTACAATCAACACGTCAAACAACGTCCTTCCTTCCAGGTTATCGTGCTTTAAAAAAACAGTTGGTATGTAATTGTGGCTACCAAAAATTAACTCAAAGCGCGAAATTAATGTGAGTAAAGCTGAATATCCACAGCTCGCTCAGGATATACTCCGAAAGTGTAAATTCAAATTTGTTATTATCGGGGAAGATCCATCGCTAATCTCATATTTTTTTCTCTGTTGAATATGTCACCCAAAGTTAACAGTTTTCCAATTGGTGGACGTACTGAAATGTTGGCATGTTTTCCGATGACGAAAATAAATTTAGAGCGCCAATCAATTTTTATTGTTTCATAATTTCAAGATTTGTATTTTAAAATTATTGAAAGTTATGGATTGGATGTGAATGAATACTTATTTTACATTCAAGTATAAAAACTGTGCTGAGATAGATGGCTTATAATATATACACTGAGTCTGCACAAGCTGTATCATTAAAAATCTTCAACTGTTTGTTCCATGATTTATTGATGTTTTTGTTCTATGTCATTAATGTGACAGTGACATTGACAATGTCATCTAAGAAAAATGTCATTATTTGTATTGTGTTGATTTATATTGTTTAAGAAGGGACTACCAGCTAAACTAAAATTATTATTTTTACTGGAATATGTGTCTCTCCAGTTCCAGTATCTATAAACCTTCCTGATCTTAATATTGAATGGATCCCAGTGAAGATGACGGCTGAAAATGGAATAAAAGAATTACTTTCTAAATTGGAGGAAGACGATTTACTGTCACTATCTCGTACAGTAACCCAGGGACTGTTGAAAATCAACTCTGTTGATGGTAAGTATAAATTGAACAATTATCGCAATCGACTATTATCATGTTTCGTTCCAGATGCCATAAAAGGCATATTGAAGTACTCCCCAGACCTTATCAGTATTTTGAGGAGAAAAATAGTCACTAGAGATATACTCTTCACGTATTTAGATGAGAAAAATGTCGAAGTGAGACTGCCCATCACGAAAAATGAACTGATCGATAAAATAGCTGATTTTTGGAATATTTCACGAACTAGTCGAGCTGTAACTGAACATAACAATACCCAAACGGTGTGTAGTCAAGAAGATAAAGGTGTTCTGAGTGCAAATGGCCAGAGCCAAGACCCTCACACTGTTTCTGCTCTAGCAGAACAATTCATAAAATGGTTCTATGACCTGCTGAATCTCCAGGGAATTGGATCAGAGCATTTCTTTCCTGAAGCAAAACTGAAGTTGAACATTTTTTCAGGTAAAAATATGTTTTGAGGGCACATGAAAAACTTGGCACAGTGGTATGCTTTTGGAGATACAGCCTCTCTATCGAAACTGTAAAAAATCAACTATTTCAGGAACATAGGGTACTAAAAACTCGTAAAATTGTTCTTTCTTTTCATGAGCACAATATCTACCCATTTCAAGTAAAACAATCTCTGTTTAAACAAAATAAACTTTTTTGGGAAGAATTGAAATTGTTTCCAAATCTAGTGCAAGCTAGAAATATGACTATTCACTTTTTTCAGGCCTCAATTGTGATACAAGTGTAATTGAAGACAGTCCCGAGGAGATAGCAAATGCATTGTTTCGAATTAAGGTGCAGAACAACTTGTTCTTCAACCCAAATATTTCCCCAGATGGGGTTCAAGGGAAAATGGATCCTCACGGACTGGTATTGATTTTGGCCTGCGGCACTCTACACACTCAAGGTACTTGTGTGGGGGTTTTCGAACAGGTATTTAGTTTGGCGAGGGACCCGTATTGTGAAAATAACTGGAAAATTAAGAACTGTGAACTGAACTTACGCAGCAAAAGTGGGGTTATGAGCCAACCAAGTTTGTGTGATAGTGAACTGACTTCTAATTTGCTCTCATTGCCTTCCAGTAATTGACAAAACTGTTTTGTTGTGGTTGATTATAGTTTCTTAAGGTGGCCAGTGTTTTAATTATCATCAACTATGAAAATGTCCCTTTCAGAAATATATAGACATAGACTGAAATATATTTTTTTATAACAGTAGATATTTTTGGATTTGAAGAAAATTGTAATTGAGGAATTTTCCGAACTGATCGAACACAGAATTTCAAAATGGAAGATATACAGAAAACTTCAATTTTTGATCCTTTAGTCACAAGCAATTATTGACTTGGTGATTGAAGCACGTGTCGAGGTGGTAAAAATAACGGTTTGATGTTGGGATTGAGCTCCAGTAATATTATTGACTGGTTAAACTATAGTATAAAGATACTATGGTTAAACCATTGTCTAAAATCCTTAGACAATGATTGAACTATGTATCAAATTGGCCAGATGTCAGCGTCTAGAGACAGCTTTCAGATGAGAAATATCGGAAGATGAGGTTCATTCATAGATGGCGCTGGGTAGTTGAAACCCAAATAAGGGAGTAAAATATATAAGGTTGGTAGGGGAATAATGGGAAGGGAATTTGAAAAAGATTTATAGTGAAGAAATCACATAATTCTAAAGAGAAATTGAACTTTCTATGTTTTTTACCACTTTTAATACAATTTTTCAATACTTTACAATAAAATGTCCGTATAGGACAAAACTGTAGTAACGTTAGTTACAAATAAAAGTGGTAAAAAACAGAAAGTTCCATTTCTCTTTTTTTTATTATGATTTCCTACCACGTAGTAACGGCTACATCCATCAATTCACATAATTCTGTTTTAATATTTCTTCTACCTCAACTTATTCAAATCAAAATGTGGACTCAATATAATGCCCTCAGAATTAAACTTACTGCAAACGAAGTCAAAATAAACAGATTTTCTACTACATTATTGAAATATGTACATAATTGTAAAAAAAGAGATCTAGAGCTTTGCTACACGAATTTTGTCCTGCATGTAATATTGACATAAGCCTTGTTCAATTTGCGTTCAGCATCGCAGTTTCCTAAGGTCACTGGATGAGAGTAACCTGTGCGACGATTTTCTTCAATATGCCAGAAAATAAAGGTATTCACACCAAGTTTAGGAGTATTGTGTGCAACTTCTATTGGCAACACTGTAGATTTATGTCATAACCTCAAATCTACTGTTCGTAAAAATATTTTTCAGTAGGTTCAAAATCTTGGAAACATGAATAAACTATTACGAAAAATATTATCTAATAACAGTTATTCGATCATAAGGCACTATAGCGGGGGACTCTATGAACCATCCTACCTTGAGGTATATTTAATTAAATAATGATATTTGCAACTATTTATTGAATAATTATTTTATAGGCCATGAAACCAAAGACACCCCTTTATGACACAATAAATATTCAATTACGAGGATACGATTATGCCATATTAGAGAATTACCAGAAGTTCATTCACAACATTCTAAAAAATATGGAAGTCAACGTAGAGGACTGTTGGGCAACTCCTGCTCAACATATGCATATATCTACTTACAAGCCCAAAAGTGAAGTCATCAATGCACAATACAAACTTAAAATCTATGAGAGAACTGTTCAAATCACTGACGTATCATCGCTTCAGGTGAGAATAGTTCCCTAAAAGAAAATATAATGTTTTTCGAGATGATTGTTTTGTTTTGTTTTTCAGCTTCCACTCGTTTTAAGAACAGTGGAAGCCAGCTTACCAGCTGGAGTATCTGTAGAAGTCAGACCTCACGAAGAAGCTGACGAGGAGGTTCGATATGTTCCAGACAAAGAACTCCATTCTCTGAAGCAAGAGTTGGACGATTTGGGAGGCCCGTCCAAAACGAAAAGATAGAAAATGAAATGTTTTTATTTATTTTAATAATAGCAAAACAAAAATTTGATACTATTCGATTTTTTCCTAGGATACCTTGAAAAATCTATAGAGTTAAACTGATGAAGATATCTGTTATATAAACTAATAATGCGAATAAGTGTTCTCATTGTCCATTTCAAAACCCTCCCAAAATGTGATACCTGGTTGTTGTCTGAGGTGTGCCTCGGTATGGTTGTTGTTTGTTCAATTTGATTTATTACAATTGAGAAATAAGGACGGTTTCTTTCTGCAATTTGTTCACCCATCGTTATTCCTACCAATCATCCATTTACAAGAATGCTAGTAACTCATTCATAGTACATCATAATGCATTCCGTTATACTTGTCTATTGATAATTTTATTAAGCCATTTTTGTTTGTATCTTGAACATTTCAACTATCTATTCACTCCTGTTTTAATTTCCAAACATTCTTTTTAAAAGCATCAAATTGTAAGTAGAACAAGGCAAATTTTAATATTTGAAAAACTCTACAGCATCGGGAGGGTTACTCATAGACAAGTTCTTGGGTGACTCAAACTGAGTGTATCTACAGATTCCCTTTGATATTCTTCATGGCATTGCTACATTATGTTTTGTGAAAATTGTTCATATGTGTATTGTGAAATGTATCTGCTTCCGTGAAATTAATGTTATAAATAAGTAGCTAATGATTATTGTGCTATATGACTTGCTACAAATATCTGTGTATATAATGTACTCAAAAAAATTACTCTATCAGGAGGAATTGAAAACAAGTTGTTCAAGTGAAGGAATATATTATTATTATTATTGTCATATACCTCACAAATAACGAAACATATAGTGGAAAAACTACCCCGCCTTGTCCCTCTCCCATCCTGCTGCCCCAAATGAAACACACTCAAGTTGACATTTGAATATACTTTCCAAATACATAACTTTGTTCTTCTTATAGGCCTAAAAAATATGAAAAAAACAAAAATTGATTTTCTTCTAATTTGCGCTGGCTGCAGAGCTACTCATCCGATCTGGTGCAGGGCACGAATAATTCACATCTAAATCGAGCAGGCAAAAAATAATAAAAAACGGGCATATAGTCAGTTCAATATAAATGTAAAGTATAACAAATAACAAGCAGGTACCGCAACATTGAGCTTTTCAACTCGAGACACATTCTCATCAATAAACAAACGAATAACAGGCTTTACATTTATGCCGATCAAACCAGTGTCCAAATAAAAAAAATCACATCTCATTGCAACTAAGCCTAGGGTGAAGGTATGCGCTAGGTCTCGCTACCGTTTGTTATACTTTCGTGGCACGGTTTGCATACTGGAACAGCTCTCTGGGATAAATGACCTGGGAGAGGCACGCTCTTTGATATGCATCTCTGGCAGAAGATGTCGCCACATTTGCGGCAGTGCATCTGAAACGGAAATATCCCTATTGAATACAATGCATAAGGTAGTCTCTGACATGGAATTTTATTATTTATATCCTGCTTCAAGTGTTACATGACATTCAGCTCAGGAAACTACCACTAGGGTATTGAAGGGATTACTCATGATTGGTGAGAATTGAAATTGAATATTCATCTGTTGAAGCAGTATAAAATATGTTGAAGTCAATCAATCAAACATTTATTGAATTAGTTTTCCTTCACAATCATATTAGACAAGCAAAAAACATAACATCATCATAAAATACTGGCCGATTCAAAAGGTCAAACAAACATAAAAAAGATAAAAAAGTCAACATAAAACATACATAAAAAAAGTTAATAATCGATAATCCAAATTAAGAATCAAGGAGAAACCCGTCCACAGAATAGTATGCTTTTTGCAATAGAAAAATCTTGAGTCGCATTTTGAAGATATTGATATTTGAGGATTTGATTTCCTCACTGAGCTTATTATATAGCTTAACCCCAATGCACATGGGTGATTCTTTGATACTGTCAATCGAATGGGCAAATCCGGATTTGCTCATTTCTAGGAATAATTGAAATATTGTTCTTTATATACATCAGTGTTTGGTAGATATACAAACTAGGCATTGTTAATAAACTGTAACGAATGAATAATGGCCTGCAGTGTTCACTTTAAGATACACCAGCCAGAATGTTGATTACCTCTTTCTGAATAACAAAAACTTCATCAGCTTTAGCTGATAAGCCCCACTGTTCAAGACCATAGAAAATTACTGACTGAATCAAACTGTGGTATAGAAGCTTGAGAACATCAAGAGAGACTGTTTGTTTTAACCGAGGAAGTAAATATATATGTTTACTGAGCTTCAGTTTGACACTATCAACATGGAACTTCCAGGTGAGTTTATTATCAATATCAACACCTAAGAATTTAGTACAATTAACTTGATGTAAAGTTTCATTATTTAATCTAATCAAATAGCTTTTATCAATTGTTGTATTTTTAGTAACAAAGTTGAGCATTTGAGATTTAGCAGCAGGCCATTTATAGAACACCACTCAAAAATTTGATCAGTTAGTTCATTAGCTTTGACAATTACTTCGGACATCAGATACTACTAAGATGTTAGTACAGTCCGCAAAAATAACAGTAACAACATTATTAATGATCTTCCGAAACAAAATTTCGGAAGATCAGTAATAAAAACAAAAAATAGAAGGGGTCCCAAAACAGAGCCTTGAGGTACCCCTTTTGTGGTACCTCAAGGTGGTACGTGGTAATACACAGATGTACTTTATTAGACTTGTCATACAAAATATTCAACAACATATTTAAAATATTTATATATTGAAATTTACGTTCGTTTATAATAAAAATGTGAAGATTTTTCAACTCTGTAGTTGAATATTGGTACGCATAAGTACAAGATTTTTAGTTAGGCTGGTTTTTCCATTTATTAAAGTCTCTTCGTTTTGCTCCTTGTTTTGCTGGAAAACGTGTTTGGTCTCTTATGTTCTTCTTCTGACTGTTGAGACTGATGCGGAGTCAAGAAAGTATTGACCCAATTTGAAGTTGAAGTGACTGTATCTTAGCCTTCTTTGGCCAAAAACTGTTTTTATAAATTTGCTCTCTGAGATGAGGTTCTACCTACAGCGATCATGAAGGATTGGTTATTCCGTCTGGAACTTCTGGTTCGTAGTTTTTTTACACTAGTGTTTGTGGAGTTGATGCGGGATCTAATGTATGTTTTTATGTTTCCTTCATTAATTGTGCCTGGAATTCTAGTTAGGAATAGCCAAATTTTCTATTTCCAACTTCTCGTAATTTTTATGAAACTTTCATCTTCATTCATGTCCTTTTCTAAGTTAAATTATTTCATCCATTTTTGTATGGTTTTGGTTTTAACAAGATTAGCAGAAACTTGTTTATCAATAGTTTCCGAGTCCCAATGTCTTTTGATCACTTGTGGTATTGTTGCATTGCCACTTGGATCACCTTGTTTATGTGAAAGATCTTCTGGGGTTTGGTATTCATTGGTGTAATAAAATGAGTAATCATTTTTAATAACAATAATAAACGTTATTTATTGGTGAATACCAAAGGGCCATCGACCAAAGTCCTTCAGCCAGTGTACACTTTTTAAATATTTGCAGTGATTTTTACATATGCTTCTGAAAAAAAAGTACTATAAAATATGAGAGTGATTTGGTGTTTTTCCAAATAGTTTTTTCCGGGTATGTGATTTTGGATGATTGTCCTTCAGCTCTTCCCTACATAATGCCTGTAGGGTCTCCAAGTTAGTTTCATTTTTGGCAAAGCAGTTTCTTAGGTCTGATAGTCTCTCCTTTATAGGTTTTTGTAGTTCTATAAAGCAGTGTGTTTGAGGGATTGTGTAGTATGTTCTGAGGGTGACTCATTTTGGTAATATTCCTTAGTGTAGATGTTCCAGCTGTAAGGAGATTATTCCATGCAGGATTACGACAACTTGAATAAAATACATGTGCATATTAGAGAAGTGAACGACAGTTCGTTTTATATATTTTAGTTGCAGTTTTAGTATTGAATCCTCTTTTTTTAAATGTCATACTCCGAAAGTGTTTTCCTCTATTGATGCATTTCTCTTTAATCATTTTTGTATGGTAATCACTTTTATTTTTTGTCCACGATTCCTTCTACTTTCAAACATGAATGTTTTTGTTTTCTATTTTTTCTTATCAGCTTCGTTTTTTGTTTCCAGCTTACCAAGTTAGCGCATCAAAAAACACTATATTTGTTCTGTAGTGGCAAGAATGTATTCAACAGATTCATTTAACAGCAGAGGTTTAAATTCCAGCTACCAAGCCTTTAGTTATACTGCTATAATCCATCTATTTTCATAGTTGAATCATAGAGACTTGAAAATATCTGAAAACATCTCTGTAACAAACACAAACATATAAATTCCTAGACCACACCGTACCTTCTTGCTGAACTGGTCCAACGCCAACGAACAACTGCATTCGCTCGCATTCCGCATCGGCTTCCAGTCTATGGCCACCGAATCAACTTCCGAAGCCAGCAGCTCCAAGTTCGTCATTTCGCCGATGACTCGGTGTTCGTCGTTGTGCGCTACCGTGTCGACCGCGCAGGTCGGTTTATTGTGTGCGGCTATTAAAGGGTGGTCGTGATCGGCGCTGCGCATCTCCCTCGAGGTGGCCTTCTCGTACAGTAGCTTGTTGTCGAGGTAGACGTTATTGCAGAGCTGGTCGCGCTTCGGTTTGGGCTTCTTTTTGCTTACGGTGCGGGAAATCATCGATTTGACGTTCGAGAGTTTCTGGAAAACGAGGGGAAATCGATCAGCAGAAAGTAGGGAAAGTGTCATTGTAGCTCATCAAAAACATGATACAGTTCACTGAGTGCATAAGGATAAATTAAATTTAAGCTTGGTGGAACTATGAACAGATTGTTTCATATGACTATGACATTTATATTCATATATGACAGGTCAACCTGAGTATTTTAATGAAATTGTTTTTTTGAATCATAACATACCCAACTATTCCACTAGAAATAGAGTAATTTCCATATAGATAGAACGAATCTGAAAATGGCCATGAGTTCTCTGTTCTTCAAAGGTTTAGATTCCTCTAATAGACTTCCACAAATGATAAAAAATGCAAGAGCAGTAACAATATTTAAATATAAACTGATTGAACACATCAGAAATCAACCCAAAATTGTTTATTAGGCATACAATATTAGTGATTAGTTTTATATTCATGTGAACTCTTCTTCTTGTTTTTAAATACTATCCTGATCTAGTTCTTTTATATATACCTACAAGGAACATTTCCTTCAATTCTCAAAACCTCGGTTGTCATTCCTCTCCATAAACGCGGCAACAATGAAGATCCAGCAAACTTTGGACCTATTTCACTCATCCCAACCGTAGCAAAAATAATTTAAAATTCTGAAAGCCATCACTATGGCTTTCAGAATTTTAAGAGTACAAGTGAAGGAAGCTATATCAACAGTATTGCATAGGGAATGTTCCTCAATTTGGAGCAAATGCAAGTTTGAACAAAATAAAGTTGAGTTTTTCAAATTCACTTCGAAAAGTATTCAAATTGATGTTTCAAATGTTGGGTTTTAATTTTTAAAGGGATTTGTTTCTGATTCACACATTGGCAACAGCGCCTAGAACTTCACCTGCCATTCCTAAAAATATTTATCTTGCATATAATATATCAAGTTGAAATAATTTATACGTACCTAGATATTCTACTTTAAAAAAGGAAAATTATCTTTATAAATCAACAACTGAGGCAAAATATAAATTATAGTTCAATACCACCTTCACAAGCCACATAAACAACAGTTGTTTTGTTATTTATTTATATAGAGGAAGATAGGTTAGGTGCACAAAATGTCATATGTCAAAGAATGTCTCGGAACTCGGAACATAAGTAAACAGAACAGCACGCCTCTGAAATATGTCATTTTTGTTTGTCTCATTCAGGTAACAGATTCATTGTCCTTTATTAGCTATAACCGATGTTGTCAAATGGTGAAATAGAAACGAATCCCTTTAAATGTTGAATGGATTATTTCATTCCTCTTTTTTAAGAATTTAAATAATTTTTTAAAGAAAAAGGTTGAAATAAGTTTGAAATGCGTTGTTTTAGAGCTCTTTTATGAAAACTACTTGATTTTCGTCAGGAGGAACATTCCCCATTGGTGTATAATGAAATCAACAGCGGGGAAGCCACTGCAGCAGTGCTTTGTGACTTATTCAAAGCTTTTGACTATGTCAATCACAGCATATTGCTTCGAAAACTCATAAGATATGGTTTTAGGGACAACACAGTCATATTTGGATTAGTTCATACCTTTCTGACAGAAAACAATTTGTAAGAACGTCATCTAACTCGGAAGTGGGAGAGATAAATTGTGGAGTACCTCAAGGTTCTGTGTTAGGTCCTATACTGTTTCTGTTATACATTAATGATTTGACCAACAAATTGATCACAGGAAGTTTTACCTTATTTGCTGATGACACCACATTGGTGTGGCATGACAAGGACGAAAACAGATTGCATAACAAACCAATTCCAAAAACATGTTTGGTTGAAAACTCGTTGATATATAATGGATCAGGATATACAATAAACTTCCCAATGAAATCATATTTAGAAAGAAATGTACAAAACTTTTAAGTGATAAAGCTTATTATGACCTACAAGAATATTTTTACGATGCTCTGTAATTTAGAATGTGATGAAACTGCGATTGTTCTGTGTGTGAAACATATATTTTTATTCCTAGTTCTTGTCATGTGACCTCTGCATATGTATGTATATATAGTTCACATTTTATTTTGATCATTTGTATTTTATACACTCATACTTCACATGTTATACTTCATGTTTATATTGATATTTATTTATGACATTCGATTTGTAGCAAGAATTTTATTCCTAAACAATAAACATATTATCAATCAATCAATCAATCAATCATACTAATATGAGTAAGATTATTTGGATTCTTTTCGAGAATTTGAGTGTATAGATTTCTATATTGTTACCAGAAATTTCAGTATTATGTGTACCTATACATTATACATTGTCACATGTATAAAGGTGACCTGTTGAATAAAATTATTTGCTAGTGAAACTAGTTATAGTGGTTCATTGATATATATACTGCAAATTGGTCCTTCAGTAACCCATTCAAACTAAGTCTTTTAAGCAACTATGCTGCTACAAAAAGACTTGAAATTATGAAATGATCAAAAAGGATAACATGCAATATTCAAAAGTGCAATATTATGACTTTCTTTTGATAAAAAAAATAGATTATAAATACAGTGATCCATTACTTGATGAAAATTATCAACACTATCCATGATGATAATTATAAAAATCTCACTGTAAATTTTATGCAAGACACGTTTCAACAACGGTATTTCCTTCATCAGCTGGGCTGGTGTCTAACTCATAGTAAAAAAGTATCACATATTACTATGAGATGGATGGTACAGTACTTCAGATTCAGTTTGACAGTAAAAAACCCTTTGAACCCCTACCTTTGTTAAATATTTGACATGGTCGTCCAAGGAAGAAGTGTAATCTGATGTTGCCAGCAGCATATCAGCCTGGGGTTCTCTAGGGTGTACTCCACTTTCGAAACGACAGTACATACCACTCCAAAATCTGTAAAAAGGTTTCAAATGATTGGAAGAAAAAATGACCTCATCTCAAGCTGTGTAAAAATATCCATTTGGTGTATTATAAGTTTCTATAGAGAGTGGGCAGGTAAATGAATAAAATAAAAATATAACTCACTTGATATTCTGAGGTATCAAATTTGGGACCAAAACAGAAGGTGTTTCTTCGGAATTATACAAAGGATTCAGGTACTCGCTCAAATGATTCGCCATGTATCCCCACAAGGAATAAGTCCTTTCTGATAAAGTGCCAAACTGGCAGGAATGTATATGGTCATGCAGGGTGTAGAGGAACGTTTCGTTGAACTGGAACGACATGGGGAACTGCTGCATCAGTTGCCAAGTAGCGTCCAACAGCTGGGTGAAGATGGGAGAGATCTCTTTATTTTCAGTCTGAATGTGACCGCACCTTTCGGAAAACTTGTGACCAAAAGACAGCCAGTCTTTCTCGATCAAAATCTGCGAGAGAACGGTATAATGGTATCTGTCTCATAGCTACAACTTCTCCCACTTACTTGATATCCCGAAATGGTCCTGTAAAACGGATCCAACAGGATGGAAGCTAGAGAGCACACTTGAGCAGTCCTGTCCCAGCCGTCGGAACAGTGTACCATCACACTGATACCATCTACCAGGGCGCTGGATATAAACTGCGACGTATCCAGTACAGATTTGATGTGGCGTAACCACCCACTCGATTCTAAGCCGCTCAGGAAACTAGTCATTGTGGGGTTTCTTTGTTCGCAAGCTAGAAATACAAAATTGAATATACAGTAATTTGTAATTCATTTATAAAGACTTAGTTTAAGTAATATTTTTATGATGAAAACCGGGGGAAAGAAACAAGCGTTGGGAAAAGTGTTCTTGTTCTGGCGCGTGAGAAAAATGTTCATTAGATACTTTTCCTAAAAAACAGAAAAACGTATTTCGAAAATACAATGTCAGGTGTCACTGATTTTTTTTTAATGCTAAAAACAAGTTTGTAGAAAATGAGTGTAGTCAAATTCACTACTGATAAACGATAAAGTTTCACCGTTGAACTCGTCCAAGCTGCAATTGAAACTAGTTGAGTTTTCAATAATTTTTTAAAACCATTGAGGTAGGTGTTTTCCCAAAATTTCTAGAGATCATTCACATACAGAAGAAACAAAATTGGTCCCAATATCGATCCTTGAGGAACTCCCGTTTTTTATACTTTACTTTCGATTCCTTCAATGATGGAGCTTCCATAAAATTATATGATTTATTGAGTATAAATTAGGGGGAAATCATTAATGCATGGCTAAAAGATGAAGATCATCTTGTTATGAATAAATAATCTGAGTTGGAATTTGGACGTACTTAGTACGGTTCATTTTATCATCATTGTTGAAGTTCTTGTGTGTAGGAACAATATTTGTTTTGGAAAACATCAGATATGTAGCAGAATACTATAAGAAGTCCACTAGTGGATTTGAGATTACCCATTCTACCCCAAGTTATCACCTAAGATAAAAAAAAGATAATTATTTAATATTTTTTCAAATATCTACATAGTGGGAAGAAAACAAATAACCCTCATCATGATAACATTATTACAATATTGACCATCATTAAGTTTGATTTGGTTATTTTATCCAATTTCAATAGCATTAGTTCAGAAACAACACCTAAAAAAAACATTTAGTTCCTGAAGAAAGAGTTTCTTTTATTCAATATTTTTCTGTGGAGGAAAACATTCAAAATAACACTCACTCAGCCATTTCTATGTATATATTTTCCAAACAATAAAAAAAACAACAAAATAAATAAAATTGGCCAATACTTGATGAAAATCCATAACATATTCAAAAAACACTTTATTGTGAGATTTTCACTAAACGGATTTACAAAAAGGCAACAAATGTTTCGCCATACAATGGCTTTTTTGAGCGTAAAAGAATTCTTCACCAATTCTGTAAAGGAGACCAAATACATAGGGTCTTCCTACCTTTAAATTGAAATAAAACAAAGCGTGTTTGTGAGATATCATTGAAATTTTTATTCGTTTGAAAGACCTATTGATGCCATTATGTGTGGAATTTTCCATGACTCTGACGCATAAATCACCTTGAATTTGACTGATGGCATGGGTTTTGTTGGTTTTGAGGACTGCTGTGGTTTAGGGTTTATTCGCATACACCTGCCACTTAAGAAAACCCCACAAGAAAAAGTCTAACGACATCAAATTGGACGATATTGGTTGTCAGTCGATTGCTAATCCTAAACTTTTATAAGATAATTCGGTAGATATTTTTGCATCACCGATTATTAAATTCACATGATTTTTCAAAAAGCTTGATACATTGATCAGTTGAAACTTCATATAATGAACTAAGAACATAAACTCCACTGATAACTCAAGATATGTTAGATTGAAAGAATAATATATTTGAGAATCGTCCACATAAAGATGATAGCTACAATATCTCTGAATATTTACAAAATTTGAAGCGTATAATGTAAATAAAAGTGGCCCTAAGATGATACCCTGAGGGACTCTTGAAGGTAACTTTCAAAAAGTTGACTCTTTATCATTAGGTATATTATGTAGGTATGTTTTATCTGTGTGAAAAAGCTAGAAGTGTGTTTTACATTAGCATGGCTAGAAACTATAGAAGACACAGTATTACTACTTACTTTCGATAACCTTTGAAAGACTGTTACGCATCACATGGATATTTTCAATGCCCAGAAAGTGGAACTTTATATTCTCATAAAAAGCTTCATTCTCATAACCTTTCCCTGCTGCTCTGTTGGCCATAGCATTGATCTACAACAAAACCCAAATAGACCCAAAAATTTTGTTTTTAAACAATTACCTTCGGTCTGGTATCCACCACAAACATAAAAGTAGCATTAGGATTAGTCTTGAGCACGTGATTGAGCATCCTTTCGTCTTCCAAGCACCTGGCGCTGAAACCAGATAACGGCTGGCTGCACCTGCTTATGCTAGCTTTGTTGTTGTACAGATAGGACAAAACTGGTAGGCGACCCTTTGACCTGAACTTAGAACTGCCCATCAAAGTGGAGGTCCCAGCCAAGAGGGGCACGTACAGGAGTTTTGGATATGTATCGCAGAGCTAAAATAACGTCAGTGAATTTCAACACAAAACCGACTTCATAATAATAATAATAATCTGAGGATAATTTTGGTTCTCGAGAAATATAAATAGATCATTCAGTTTATTCTCGATAGATTGCACGTTTAATCATTTGTTGAGGATGTGTTTGAGCTATAAAATATTTTTAGGCATCGATTGATATTAGGCTCTGTTGTTACAAGAGAATATCTCTTTAATTATCACGATAGTCTTTACTATGAAATGAGATCTGAATTGAGAATGTTTTTTTAAAACTTCTTCATCAATTGACACATTTAAAAAATATGACTACTGATAAATTCATTACATTTTTGGGAAAATACTGTTTTGGCAGCTTGTTTAATGTTGAAAACCTCATATATATGTAAAATCCTCTTTTAATCATCCATACTCACATCATAATCTTTATTCAGATGGGTAAGACACCACTGTTCGTTGGGCACCCCCATCCGCTGGTACTCGGCCTGGAGATCATAGAACTTCCAACCAGCACTCCTCTGTATCTCTTCGACAGGAGGAGTGTAGGAGAAGCAATACAATTCTTCTACGTTCAAAGGCTGGGACAGCTGTCGGAGGCTCACAAACACGTCATGGCAATCTCTTTCTTTCGGGACCACGAAAGTAACGGAGAGGAATGTTTTTGTTCGGATAAGTAGAGGAGAACCAGTTGTAGAAAGAGGGAGCTTTTCCAAGTGGGCTATGTGCATATGGAGGATCTGCAACGAAGATGAGATTATTTCTGGTAATATTTGTAGCCGTTTCATTGAATATTGAAGCAGGGCCTGAAGAACCCACCTTACCCATGTTTCTTTTTTGGCATCAGGATCAACAAAAATTAGATGAGTGGCTGTCAGGTAAAGTGTTCCTTGAGAGGGCGTCTTCGAATATCTGTCCAACATTCGTACATTTTCTACCTGCAAGGCAAGTAGATCAGAGTACTTTATTTGAGCATTTTGATATAATGAGAGTCATCTTCTGATGATGCAACTTGGATGGCGAACATAGGTCAAGAGAGAATCTAATTCTATCTATCGAGTTAACCATTTTACATAAAGATCATTCTTATTTTCAGCAAATAAAATGTTTCAGACTGAAAGTTTGAAGGGTCTCCTAAACTGCCACCTGTGTGTACAGGAATAACTACAGATAGTTTTAAAAAGAGAGGACTGAAAAATCAGTTACACAAGAGTTTTTATCAGATTTTCGAAAAACTTTATTAGGACATCATCATACCCTGGTGCTTTTTTTTTGTCTTCAATCACTTCTCATACACAATTCAATCCCTAACTAGGACATATTACAGTTAATCATCTGCAAATAAGAAATTTTTAGAATGTTTCATGAAACTACAGAAATAATTGATTAGATCAAGAATAATGGACCTAAAATGGAGCCCTGAGGAACACCATTTCATATCACTTCAATTTACTGTACGGTAAGTCTGGTAAGCTCGAGAGCTCTGCCCATTATGGAAAAATAATAACCACAAACGTTTTAAAATCGAAAGTTACCTTTGGTGTTTTGATGAGTTCCATAATTGGGAACTCCACACAGTATCTGGCTAGTATTCTAATGCTTCAACAATTATGCTTTCATGAAGTAAATTATTAAACAAATAGACATTAAGTTAACAACTTATTAAAGACACAATTTACAACTCTCTCAGATGTCGTTGTTTATTGACACAACTGTCATTTGTCATTGTCAGCTGTTTTGTCGTTTAAAAAAAATATATTCATTGGCATATCTAGAGTGAAAAAATTACATCATATTGATAGGGTCTGTAGACAACAATCGAACAGAAACCAAATTGGGCTTCAATAAGTATACTGCTATGTTCAAATAGGTTTTTTCATAAAGTTTAACCAAACATGGTCATAGAGATTGGTCCAAAGTTGAAAGGTTCTTTCAAGAGGCCTTTTTTATATTGGAACTACTTTTAGAGATCTTCAGTATGTCTGGAAAAATGTTTAGGATGAACCAAATTAATTTATCGAATAGCAAATAATATTCTCATGTTTGAATAAAGTCCATTTTAGGTTTGGAAAGTCACTCCTGAAGAGTGGGTAAATTTGCAAATTATTCTAAATACGAGAAAAGTTATCATAGGTAATGTTATAATCGGCAGAATTGTTAATTATTGAAATGATCAGACCAACGTATTTAGTAAAGACTGAATAAAAACAGGCTCGAAGAAGCCACGTGCTGTGTTTTTGTAAAACTGTTTAGTGAAAATATCACAAAGTGTTTTTTGAATACGTTACTTATGGATTTTCATCAAGTATCGGCTAATTCCATCATATATATGATCAAACCAAATAGATCTTGGTGTACTGAAGACAATTTTTTTAAATACTTTTTTGTTGACACATAAAATACAAGTTGGTAACTTTGTCATGTACTTAGCAAATTATTCTCACTTTTCAAGAAAGAGTGCCCCTCCTCGTCAATAATAAAAATTTTCATCAAATAACTGAATATTCATATCATAGAAGATGAAATTATAAAATTTGGAGAGAATATAATGCAAAAATATATAACTCCAAAAATAAAACTAAACAAGTATATGGACTATCATAAATAATGAACTTGGGAAAAAAACTAAAAGTAAAAATCCATCATGTAAAGCTTTAAAATATAATGAATTCGATTTCTCAGAAATTTCACCGCTTGAAGTTTCGCAAACTTTATATAATATGAGGAACAAAAATTCAGCTGGTATTGATGATATGTCTATTGTTACTGTAAAGCAAATTATTGATATAATATTGAACCATTATTTTTTTTGCTTAACCAGTCTTTTTATGGGGGTTTCTTCCCAGCAGATGAATTGAAGAGGGCACTTGTTTTTTCACTGCACAAAAAAAGGCAAATTTCTATTGAAAAAATTACTAGTAATGGGCTTTCCCAATAATGTGTTGTGTTGGATAGAATCGTACATGGCAAACCGTGGTTTGGTGGTTAAATGTAACGGAATTACATCAGTTCCTTATGATGTGAAACTAGGTGTTCTACAAGGGTCTGTTCTGGGTCCATTGTTATTATTGACTTTTATCAATGACTTGTCTGAATTCATATCAGATTGTCACATAACTATGTACGCTGACGATACTACAATCACTGTTTCTGGAAAAAACGAGAATGAATTATCAATGAAAATTAATTTATTTATTGACGATTTCAGTAGTTGGTGTCAACGTAACAAACTGATTTTAAATAAATATAAGTCAGTGCTGATGAAAACATTTGTTAGGAGGGATTTCTGTTGTAATTTAGTCACTTTGAATGACATAAAAATATCAAAAGAAGTTAATTTTCTTGGAACTATTTTAGATGAGAATCTCACCTGGAGAAGTCACATACAAAAAGTGTGCAGTAAACTCAATTCAGCTCATTATTCGATCAAACAGTTGAAACATTGTTTAGATAGGTTTGGTTTACTAAATGTTTTCAGAAACGACTGATAAGATTGATTTCAACCTGGGGTACCAAGAAAGTTGTAGACCCGTTTTCAAAAGAGAACTCCTTGACTTGTACATAACGAACTTAAGCATTCACGGTCGTGATACTCGCCATGCTACTGTTCTGAGGGTCCCTTCGCATAAGAGTGGTCATTTCAAAAAATCTCCATTATATAATGCCATAAATTTTTATAACAGACTGCCACTTTCTATAAAGATGTTGAATTCTGCAAATTTGTTCAGTAAGAAAGTTAAAAACTTATTACTGGACAAATGTTACTACAGTCATAAGGAATATAAAAGTGGTACCTGTTTGTATCTGAAATTTACTTCTATGCATCATCCACATACCTTTGTTGCGAGTTGTTTTTAAACTATTTGGTTTCTTCCTATGGAAGTTTCCTACAACTATTGTATAAAAATGAAGAAGTGGATAGGCAGAAATATCCAACAAATTGAGTGAAACAACAGCCAAACTACAATAAAGCTCAATTTATTATAAAATTATAAACCTAAGCAATAAACTCATATGGAATTGGCGCAAGCTTCACGGCAGGCACCTTTCCGCTGACGATGTGTGCAGGCCTGGGCTGGGCAGGCTGTCTCTTCAACTCTACCTTGACATTTTTCTCCTTAGCTTCTCTGCGAAGCTTTTCGTTGGACTTCACTCGCTGCAAGAAATCCTCCCTGCACTTCGAATGGGTGACGTGTTCAATGCGGATATTAATTCTCTTAGGGATGATCTTCCCCCGAACCCTTTTGTTTACGATTACTCCCAGCGCGTGTGCTGTAACGTTAAATACACGGCCGGTCCTTCCGTGGTAGGCTTTATAAGGCATGCCTTTTTGAACAGCTCCATTTCCCTTGATATCTACTATGTCTCCAACTTTATAGACCTTCATATATGTGGAGAGCGGGATGACTCCATGCTTGCCGAATTTACGGGCGAAGAGATCCCTCGTACCGCGACGGTAACCTTTGGAGTTCGTCATTTTACAGACCTGAAACAAAAACTTTAATGATTTTTAGGTTAGGATGCCCATATGGTCTTTCTAAAGACAATTTCAAACTCAAACAACGAATTTAGTTATTCCACTGATAAAATCCAAGAACTAAATTAATGCGGTTGAATTAAACAAAAATAATATATTAAAAACTATCTTATTATCGTAAACTCACCTTTCCACACTTCTTCGATAGAAAAAAAGAAACCAAAGATGGAGAAACAGTGCGGCCAACGGGTCAAAAATGTTTCCCCTAAGCCGTATTTAAAATCCCCTAAATTCAAATCTTAAATTTTGTGATATTTTTTGTTCAATATAATTACGGTAGTAGATACAAAATGTAATTGAATATTTCCAATTATATTCAAATCCAATAAATTAACTCACCTGAAAATTTTTATTACGATAGTTTTCAATCAATCAATAAAAATAAATATTACAGAAGATTTATAGAAACAGTTGACTCATTTATTGCCTTCACGTGACTTACATGACATTTACTCATAAATGAATCAATAAATATATAGAACGAGGACATGTATAAATATAAGTATCTGATTATATTAATTCCTAACTCGTTCATGATTTCAAAGAAGTCATTATATAGCTTCTTGTTCTTCATTTGTCTCAGTATTTTCAAAGTGATATATTTTTACATCAAACATTTTCGAAATATCAGAACACGGAGTAAAATTCATTCACGAACCAAAATTCCTTTGAATGCTAATTTGTACCATCATCAAGTTTTGTAGCGACTTCAATGATAATTTAAATACCCTGAATAATTTTTCACCTGAAAACTCCCTCTTATTCAAATTTTTCTCCCTAAATTCAGGGGGCAAATCCCCATGTTGGCATCACTGTGGAAAAAGGAATCACAAAAGCTCACGATTTTCTATCACGCTCGCAATCGAGCAACTACTGTTGCCACCATGATGATGATTGATGACCTATGTATTTTGTAGAAATTCATATTCAATATAGGATAAAAAAAATAGCTTCTATTTGATTTCTACTACGATTTCTGTTACGACCAGTTTCTGTTTGAAAGTGGTCTAACAAACCGAAACCGGCCGTAACAAATAAAAATCGTAGTAGAAATCGGACAGAAGCTATTTTGTTTATTCTAAATTCAGTGTCACCAACCCCAATAACAAAAAAAAATCAACAGCTCGCCAATAAAACAAGAGAAAACAATAAGTAAAGTAAAAAAGAAAGATATCATACTGTCTTCATATAACTGCAACTTGCATCAACTTATATTAGTCATCAGGACTCACATACATTGTTATATAATAATATTAAACACAAAATAATAAAACACAAAAATCAAACTGGAATTATTTTTCACTTTCATCCTCAACTGCATCATCTTCAATATTTTTTCAGACTCATTTTCCTCTATAAAATCGTACATATTTTAGTTAAATTTCCTCATGTGCCTTTCTGTGGCTTCAAATGAGTAGCAATCGGTTATTTCGGATTTGGTGTGTAATGCAGCCTTAATATTTGCAGTAGATATTTTGTTGCAAAATTTGGTTTCCATAAAATTTATAGCTTAAAGTAATCTTTTCACAGTGTCACGAAAGTTTTTTTGCCAATTCACACAATGTGGGAAACGTTTGAGACTCGTCTCCATTTTTCAAATCGAGTACATGTTTTCAAAAGGTGATAATATTTCTTAACATTTTCCACTCTCTAATCAGTTCCGTTATATTATTTCCGTAATCCCATACTGTTATAATGGTTTACCGGTATCTAGATGACAATTGAAAAGTGCTTATTAACAGCCTCTGTCCTTTAAAAAATTTTAACGGCCGGCAACACACACAAATGGAAAATAAGGAATACTTCAATGATATAGTTCATTAAGTCATATAATTTGGGAAGCATCAACCTAATTTATTCTGCAACAGAATAATTTGTTTTCATCATTTGTTCTTACTTTCAAATTTTCGGTTACGGAACTTTGGAAACGGAACACGTCCTAATTTATAATCAAGTTGTTTCAAGAAAAACTTTCCGACGTGAATACATGCCTAATCCTCGATTGCGAGCGACATCGTGAATCGTGACCCACAGAACTATAACTTAGAGTCGTGACCTTTCGTTGATCGTTTCTCCATCTTTGTTGTTTTCTTTTTTCTATCGAAGAAGTGTGGAAAGGTGCGTTCACGATAATAATATAGTTTTTAGGTATTTTTCTGATTTAGTTTATCCGCATTCAATTTAGTTCTTGGATTTTATCAGTGGAATAACCAAATTCGTTGACTGACTTTGAAATTGCGTTCAGAAAGACCATATGGGAATCCTAACCTAAAACTCATCAAAATTTCTTTCAGGTCTGAAAAATGACGAACTCCAAAGGTTACCGTCGCGGCACAAGGGATCTCTTCGCCCGTAAATTCGGCAAGCATGGAGTCATCCCACTCTCCACATATATGAAAGTCTACAAAGTAGGAGATATTGTAGATATCAAAGGAAATGGGGCAGTTCAGAAAGGCATGCCCTACAAAGCATACCACGGAAGGACCGGCCGTGTATTTAACGTTACCGCACACGCACTCGGAGTGATTGTGAACAAAAGGGTACGGGGGAAGATCATCCCCAAGAGAATTAATATCCGCATTGAACACGTCACCCACTCTAAATGCAGGGAGGATTTCTTGCAGCGAGTGAAGTCCAACGAAAAACTTCGCAGAGAAGCTAAGGAGAAAAATGTCAAGGTGGAGTTGAAGAGACAGCCTGCCCAGCCTCTATATCAAGAAACAAATGTTTTATGAAAAAAGAATAATAAATATTGAACAAAATGAGAAGATGAAAGCGAGTCAGTGTCATCTATCTGGCCTACAATTGTCACAAGTTCTCCATAACAATTTTTATATTTTTCCAGATTGCGGAAAATGAAAATACCCAAAAAAAGTCGAAAAAAAAAATTAGATTGTCCCCACAAAAAAAAAATTGTTCAAAATGAAATTGTGTTTCAAATTTTTGAATTATTTACTATTGAATGAAATATGTTCAAATGGGGCATTTAAATGTAAATAAGTAAATGAGTTGGTACGAATTCTCTTTAGGCTAATGAAAAATTTCTTTCAACAGTTCCATTTTGTAATGCTCAGATAACGTCCCTTCTACTGATGTTCACATATTTTTTAATTATATGAACGTTTGTTTCACATGTTGCAAACCCTGTACAGTAACAATTCCTGTCACCAACTCTTTTTGGCAAAATCGGCACATGGGGAAAAATTTTCATTGGATTCATGAAAATACAAAGAAAACTCAAAACAATAATTAATTGATTTATTATAACTAACGATAATATGTACAGAACAAAAATAAAATCTGCTTAGCAGTATTCGATATTAACGCGCTAGTACTTTTGACATCATTTAGGAAAACAATTTACAATTTACAGTTTTTTAAAGTCTCGTATGGCAGAGTGAACTCAACTTTTAGAATAATGTCTCCTGGAAGGAGCGTATAACGATATCGATTCAAAATTTACTCTGTAACAAATAAATTATATGGATAAAATAAATTATTTAGGGATATGAGAGAATATCAAAAATACAGTGTTCTTTAGTGGCTTTCGAACAAAACTAGAATTTGATGTATAAAAAAAATCAGGGTTACATAAATATCTACACAGTAGGTTAATTTTTTGTCTTGTACCAGAATTTCAATGGACCAATTTAGCATATTTATAGCATGGTACTAGTAGGTGCTCCAATTCTGGATTTGTATTTTTTCTTACTACAAAATAAAAGCATGGGGGTGATCAGGGAATAGAAATGTTTTCGAACATTATGCAGCTGAGGCAAATGAAGTATATTTGATTTTATCTGATTTGATATGAACAGTCTTGCTGCACATAAATATTTTATAAATGAGGGAGTATGTATAAAAACTACTCAAGCCAGTGGCGGCTTCTCCTATGAGGCAGATGAGGCAGTGCCTCACCAATAATTTGCAAATTAAATAAATCACAAATTTATATTATAAAAAAAAATTTTAACTGTGCCTCACCATTTTCAAATACCACGAGCCGCCACTGACTCAAGCCAGCAAAAGAAATCAGTTTTGAAATTATTCTTGCTTCTTTATGGTGTTAAGACTCTAGAAATTTTTGACTAAGTTCCCGCACCTATTAGCTAGCCTCGAAAAAATGTATTGAAAAACTATTTCAGGAATAGATTGAATAACTTATAAACCACCAGATAATAAATAGAAAAAAATCAATTCATTTGGTAAGATAATAGAAATTTCTTGACAGACAAAATTTTATTTCTAGAGAACTTAAATGTTCTAGAGCAAAAATTGCAATAACGCTCTAAATAATCACATGATGATAATGATACACCTTTTCATTATAGAATCAGGTGATGATAACGATATACCTTCTTATCTTTTTGAGGTAAATAGTTTAAGATCATTAGAAGTAAATGCTATAAAAAAGTAATATACATAAAAAACTGTATATCATTTCCTAATAGAATCACATGATAATAACGATATAGCTTTTTATCTTTTTGCAATATATAGTTTGAATTCATTCGAACGAGATGCTATTAAATAACAATTTACAGAACAAACTGCATAGCATTTCATTATAGAGCTAACAGAATCAAATGCTGATAATTATATAGCTTTTTGTCATAGAATAACATGATAATAACGATATAAGTTCTTATATTTTTGAGATCATTAGAATTAGCTATGAAATAGCAATATAAAGAAAAAAATTGCTCTTCATTTCATAATAGAGATAATAGAATCAAATGCTGATAATTATATTAAACCTTCTTGCCTCAGAATGATATGATGATAACGATATACCTTTTTACCTTTCTGGGGTATATAATTCAAGATCATTAGAATCAAATACTTTAAAATAGCAATATACAGAAAAAACTGCATATCATTCCCTAATAGAGCTAATAGAATGGCAGAAAGGTATAAAGTTCTAGGTCATTAGAACTTCTTTGGAAAAAACTACATACTGTGTCCTACTAAGATTTGAGGTATACCATATACCCTAACATACTTGAGGCATGAAATACATTTCCAGGACTTTCAGTTCATTAAAGTCAATACCAAGTTGTAGAAGTGATTTCTAGAGAGCTTTTAGGTTTTTCTGCAAAAACTTCTACAAAATGTATTGATACTTTTTGGGGGTATACAACTCTAGCCCACTAAAGTGAGAAGCTGCGGCAATAATAGTAATTTCTAGAGAGTTTGACAAAGTACGGGTATGTCTTACTAGTCACACTTCATGGTATACCTATTTGGGGATATGTACTTCTAATAACCTAGAGTCGGTTTATGTATTCCAAAAAATATCAGATTTATGTGTGAAATGTAACCAAGTGACTCATGCAAGCAAGTTTTTGGAGAAAATTAAATACTGACAAACGTAGCTCTTATTTCAGGAATTGTATAAGCTATAAAAATATTTATCGACATATAGAACATACCCTTTTTGTAAACGGGTAAAGATATATAAGTTAATGTGTTGAAAAAGTCAGTCAGAAAATGTTATCCTTTAAAAAAAATGGAACATTTACTAATAAGCAACACTTTTGATGATTAGTATGAATTTCAAAAGAAATAGCACTGAACTGAAGTCTATTGAATATTATAACTATTTATTCACCAAGAAACATAAAATGTGTTTGTAGGAGAGCAAATAAAATTCAGTAATAACATAAAAAGTAACAAATGAATAAATAATCTAGACAGAAAATTGAAAAGTATAAAAAACCTAAGTAACGAAATAAAACTTTTGCAAGTAATGAAACAATAATTATTGCAAATATTTATTTTGAATTTTAGTTTGCCGTATTTCTTGACTGTATTTGATATTTTATAGTAGAAAAATTTATTTTATGTACTTTGTGAAGATTTGTAACTCTTTGCATGTTGCATAACATCAGTTTAATAATTTTACCCTAATTCTGACTAGTAAGCTTCGTCAAGAAGATTCAATATCGAGACTAATTATTATTGAAAAAATAGCTGGAAAATATTTATATTCTTTCGAGTTGATGTGGATTTCATAATGCAACCTTACATTGGAAGATTTATACCCCAGCACACCAGGAAGATCCAGATTGGGGCCTATATAGTTTTAGAAAACCATTAATCCCATTTCTCTTCCATAGATTGAAGTAGTTTAAATTTTGTCAAAAAAAAAACACTGTACAATTGATGTTATACTACAGTCCATACAGGGTGTTGCTTTGAAAGCTACAGGTGTGACTATTCATGGACCTTACTTTGGCTTGGGAACGTTTAAAGTGAACTTATCACTGCACCGGGAAAACTTTTCATAAAAATAGTTAAAACAATATTTTCTAGAAAATAAAGCTTGAATCGATATCGTTTGCACTTTGGGATAGATGAACTGTGATATGCATAAAGACAACTTTATCCGTAACGAAGCCTGTAGCGGTTTCCTAAATAAATTCTATTAACAATGTGGCCTGGTGTCGAAAAAAATCGTCCTTATGTATATTTATTGCTAAATTCTCCATAGCAGCAAGAGAAAATAATTGAAAAATAATAAAAAAAATAAGTGATCCACTCCAATGGTGTCTGTATACATTTTGTGAAATTACCTACAGGAAAATATCTTTCCATAAGCGTCACACAAGAATTGCGAGCTGGTTTTCGGTTTCGACAGGAAAAAAATTTTTGAAATCCCATTTATCGAGGTAACTCTGAAAAACCAAACTCCCACCAAAAAAGTATTTGTCGAAGGCGTTTTATGATTCATGTAGACATTACAAATTACATTATCATTTGAAACAAAACTCAAAAGCTGTAATAAGGTTTAAGAATCTCAAATTTTTGATGAAACCATCCAAACTACGAAATCCGAAAGTCTTATTTCCAATAAAATTTAAACAAATTATGGAAAAACATGTTTTATATAATGGCATTATTGAATATACTGCACTACCAACATCTGTTTCATCAACATATCAAAAATTGAAAATTATGTTTCAGAATTTCAAAAATTTTACGTAGGTTCTATTGAAACGAAAATTTGAAATCCGACCATACCAAAGCTTGATTCGACTAGTGCAATTTGAACTTACATCGTACCTTCTCTTATATCTTTACATTTACTGAAGAATCCTGCACTGACACTTGTCGGATATAATCCAAACCCTTCGTGGTATTAGCCAGGGGAGTAGTTGTTTTCTGATAGATGTCAGTACATTATTCAACAGTGTAGGTAATTTGATACTGGCCTGAACGAATTGTTCAATTTGTGAAATATTAATGATAATTCATCACGACTCAAGTCGATTGTACTATTATTGATAATTAATTATGGTTCTAGTTGGGCTCTCCTGAAAGCTCATGGGATAACCAAGAGTGATGCAAGTGTTTGGAGGAAGTTATTCAAATTCAATGTCAAATCGAGTTCGAATTTCAGATAATTTTCAAATTTGATATTTTGAAGAAAAAATGTTTAGAGAAATTTCTTTCACTGTTCAAGATTTCTGAGGACGACATCAGTTATTTGAAATAATTGAAAAAAAATACATGTATCTTCCCAATTGTGTTTATAACAGAATGTAGTTTGTTGTGGCTAGCGACATTTAATGAGTTTTCGTTACCTAAAGTGAGCTTCAGAAATTGAGTGGCTCTATTTCCGGATTCGAACACCAAATCATGACTATAGATTTGTGCCCACTGGATAAAAATACGCAAGTATAAGTAAAAATTTTCCAAAAACGAATATTCCCTCACTTTATAATGATATTCCTGGATATAAGATAGTTCTTTTGCTATTCACACAGCAAAACTGCTTCTTCGAGTGATAATATTTTATAATTGGGGATTGCATAATGTATATTTTCAATTTCACAAGACGAATTGTTTGATACCCACTCGATAATTAGGATAACAAAAGTACTCAGAAGTGTTGCCAGTTGCATAAATAATTTTCGATTTCATGAACTTGATGTAGAGACTCAAAAATGTTGAAAAATGGATAGTTGAAAAAAATAACCTCATGACTTTTTTTTTAAATACCTCTATGAATAGTTTGTTTGAAGAAAACTCAGTTTTCAAATTGTTTACCTTACAACATTGAACATCATTCATACTATTCGTTATAGAAAATTGCTCAGAGACGATTGAAAACCTGAAGAAATATTCATGGAAATAGACTGAGGTTCCTCTAGTAAAGTCCAATAGGACGACGTACACCTTAAAAATCTAATTCTTATTTTAAATTTCAACCAAGATTTATTTGGTTTCGTTTTTACTAGTTATTATGACATTCTTTCGTTGCCAAAAGTCAAAAAATGGTAATCGCAACTTCTCAAAAAAAAATCCAGAACCTGCCACCAAAAACCAGTTATGAGGAAATGCGGCAGATGGCGCCATCCGCATCACCTCCCAGAAACAAGCAATTCTCGCCGACGACCAACGAAACGACTTTGGAAAAAATAAATACAAAAATACGATAGAAAAAATAAATAACTTCCCGATGATCTCTGCCTCTCGAATATTTACAATCCGCTCGTCGGTTATTTCGTTTTCACCGCCTCTCCCGGGCTGGGCGGGGGACGGTCCACAACGACGACTGTCTCGCCTGCCGCCGTGGTAAGGCAACTTTCAGGAGAGCTCATAAACTCTCGCGGCTCTGGTAGAACAGGATGTAGCCCGTTTCGGAAGATTTCTGCGTATCAGCCGTCAGTCCGTAGAAGTCTTCGATGGTCGATGCGTCTATTTTCTGAAAAGAGAAAAAAATGCTGTTGTAAAGAAATTTGAACATAGATTAAGCAAACAATACATACATACATACTTTAAACTGCTATAAGGAGCAAAGAGAGTTCACTACGAAGATAAGAAGTCGTCCATTGTATAATACGAATTATCCAGTAAGTTATGTTTTCAGTTGAATATATTACTTCTAGGAAAACGGGTAATATATATAAAAGAGTTAAATTAACATATTTTACAGAATTCATCATTCATTTATTTATTCAATGACAAAGCCAATTTACAAAAACCTATTTAACAAAGTGTGAGGAACTACAAAGTATTTTTGAATACTCATGTCTGATGTCTACTATACAATTTTACAAAACATTTAGTAAAGTGTGAAATACAAAATATTAATAAATCCTTATGTCTCGTGTCTATATTACTAAAAGATGAAACAATTCTGGTACTTACAAGAAAAAAGATGTAACACATCTGGTACTTACAAAGGAAATGGTAAGGTAAAAAAAAATTTCAAAAACGCTATAGCCTTTTCAATTGATTTTTTTAGACCTGAAGTGATACATTGAACAGATCAAAGTTATTATGATATTGATTTACCAGCTTCAAAATACGAGACATCGGACTGTTCAAAGCATAATCGGTATGGAAAAAATTTATATGAAAAATGTCAGGATTTCTTGTATCTTTTTGTTTAATATGAAAAGTTATTGAAGTAGTTCTGGGCAGTTTATCTCACTATTTATTAATTTGAAGAGGAAACTCATGTTCATAGAAATTCTCCTATCTTCCAATGATATTACATTTAACTTGGTTAAGAGTTGACTGTTCTCATATTAATTTTGTTGAATACTAAAGTGAAAAGCACAATTCTTTAAACATTTCTTTTGAACATTCTCAATCAAATCGATATTTACATTATAGTATCGGTCCCATATAACCTAACAATATTCAAGAATGGATCTTACGAAAGCGCAATATAAAATCTTTTTTCTTTTAATTGAAAAATCAGTAGAAATTCTCAACACAAAACCCAGCATTTTGAGACTTTTTGCCACAATTTCTGACACTTGAAGATTAAAATTAATTTCGCTATCAAATTCAATTCCCAGATCACAATTAAGTTTTGACATAAAATGCTAATAAATTACCTGTTTCTCTAGAAGCGATACTGTACTGTAATTGTTTCTTTTTACTATACCAATTTCACCAGAATTATTCATTTATCTAATTGAGTTTTGTAATTACTCACTTTTATATAAAAGACATTGCAGATGAAACTATTGTTTAGGTTCTAAGCCAAGCCACATATAATAATTCTCCAGCTATCATTTGTTCATAGATTTAATTCATCAATTATATTTAAATCAATACACGTTTCCTATTATAACCATTTTTTTTTCTTGTAAAATGAACATCATTATTACTTACGTCAACTTGGTCATCGTCGAAGAGAAGCCAGAATCCGTGACTTTTCACTATGCTGATGTAATGCCCTCTGTTGGGGCCGCTGCCGCAATGTATCACAACTGCTACGAGGTCGTAGAGCCTGTCCGGATTCACGGCGTCATCAGACTGAAATCAAACAAGTCACTATATTATATCTCAGGGGAACTTCTTTGAAGGGGACAAAATAGAAATTGATGAATAAATAAGTATTTTTTGGGAAAAATGAAAATTCATTTTATTTTTTCAACAGACCTCGTGTATGAAAAATTGCCAGATAATTTTCAAAGCAAATTGCAGCTGATTCTTCCCGATTCTGTGAATCTAGTAACACTAACCTGAAAAATTTCGTGCACCCAAGTAGGCTCAGGAGTAGTGTGGGCGGTTCCATTTTCACCTGCAGCTTTTGATTTCACATTATTCGTCGTCGAATTCTGTTGTCTTTCAGCTGAAAAGTTGAATTTTCAAAATTAAAGAAATGTTCGACATTGGCAGGAACAACTTTCTTGAAAGGAAAAAAAAATAGATTGAAAAAACGAAAGTATGGCAATGATATAATTATTAGCTGTTTGACAATAAGCTTCGGTTCATCGACTTAGGATACACAGTTTTTAAAGCTGACTATTATCTACCTACTGAGTTTTTCCTTTATTTTCACCAACTTGAGTTCCGGATAAGGGGCTTGATCGGCAAGAGCTTATTGGAAAATGATAATTTTTTTGGGTTAAATGAATAGAATACACTTATATTTCAAGATATCATACATTGCGAGAAACTTCAAAATCACTAGTTTTTGGAATTTTAAAAATACTTCAGACAGAGAAAACTTTTACTTGAAACAAAACAATTGAAATTCCGATACGTTGTTCTCTTTCAATATTTCATTTGGAAACTCTTGTATTGAGTAGTAGTTTTTTCAAATTGACACTTTTTTCAAATTTGATCAGAAGAGATCAATGTTCATGTAGTTGAATAACAATAATAATGAAAATTCATTTGACCATTTATGGTCAAGTCGTAAAACATAAATAGGCAATCAGAAACAAATAAATTACATGTAATAAACATAGAATTCAGATAAATGGAAACTATAGATCAGCAAGAATAATCATTCAAGTATTCCCTGTAGATTTGGACCGTTTTCAAGACACATCACGAGGTTTAGACCCCTCAATCCAAATTGGCAGTTTATTGTAGAAAGTGATAGCTTTGTGAAGGGGTGATTTTTTAGTTGTTTTGTGGCGGATATTCTCAACTGATTGCCATGACCTACTCAATAGTCGTGAGAAAAATGAGAAAAACCATTGGTCAAAAAGGTAGACAGGTTTTTTTTCTGACAAAACCACACATTCATAAAAGTACAACGAGGGAACAGTTAACACTTTTCATTTATTAAAAACTGGTTTTCAACTTTCTCATGATACATTTTTGTCTTCTGAATACCCTATTCATATCAGTTCACAAATTCTTCCAGCTCATATTTTGTTGAAGACTAGATTGCCAAAATGTTTCTTTACTGTTTTTCCGCAGTGGAAAGATGACCAGAGTTATGCCCTTGACCTCAGAAAGTGAGTCCATTTGAGATATTTGATTTACCAGTCCAAAATAAAACTTTTAACATTTTCCTGATGGATATTTTATATAACTAAGCAGTATAAACTCAGTTTGAAAGTTATATTATCCATGTAGTTATTCTTCAATAGTTTTAAATTTGGAGAGTACTAAAAATTTTGTACTTGTCCAGTTTTCTTATAGTTATTCTACCGTTCTGAAAACAAGCTCTGAAATAACACATCAGTTTATAGACTGAAAGACATTCATACTGTACTATTTTCAGCACACCACTGCACATACTTCTGATGGCCTCGATTGATTTATTTTGTAGTTCTCATTCGGGATATTCTGGGATTTGTTAATCTGTTGTCTATATATATAATTAGATATTCTATTATGTACAAATCTAGGTGTAAAATGAATAAGCTTCCTCTTCAGGCCCACATCAATTTACTATCCAACTCACCTAATATAATTTCACTAATATGGTTGATGAGAAAATTCAGGAACTCGTGAGCATCCTGTTGCATGTAATTATCAAATTCCTCTAAAAAAAACAAGTGAGGAATTAGCCCGAAGGTGCCCCATCCAGACGACTCACCCTTTTCTTTTCGTAGCCTTGCTATAAACTTTTTTGGTGCGATAGAACCTACTTTCTTTTTTTGAGTCGCTATACTGTGGAATAGGTCTGCGAGGCATGTGAGCAGCGTTTCTTTAGTCCTTTTATTCTTCGCTTTGTACTCCAGCACTTTCTCTCTGAAGGGTTTGCAAAAATAAAGTGCTTGAAGTACTGAATTACTATAGCAGGTATTACCAAACTGTAATGAAAAACAGGGGTTTCAAAGTGTCTTTTTGAGGCCTATTTCACTTACATTGACCAAACCAAAATAGTGCTCGTTGCACGGAAACTGTTCTGAACCAATATCTCGTTCCAATTGGGAAATGTTTGCACCCTGGAAATTAAAATATATCGTATTCCAACATGTAATGGGTTAGTCATATTTCATAATGGAAAACGGTTGAAAAATTCGGGATATACTTTTCCTAGAGGGGAAATTTTGGATCGGAATGGAAAGCAATGTGTTTTACCATATTTCAGTTGCTAATCCATAACTGTTGAGTTGTAAATGTGCAAAATTAACACAATTATCAGGCGAGACTTCTCCATTCCATTATCGCATTTTGACGACTGACAGCTGTTAAACAAATTATTAAGTCACAGAACATATTTCGCTTGAAACAAAAAAGGTTTGAGATAAGTTCAGAATTTTAGGCATTTTTTAGGGTTCAGAAGTTACCGGTTAAAGTGAACACGATTTACAAAAACTGAGAAAACTCTCCTAGAGATAAATTACATCGAAATGTCAATATATATAGTTATTATCATTACTCTTTGTCACCGGTGGTAGAATTATAAAAATTTATGAAATTTGAAAAATGTTGTTTTATATTTATACCAAACTGATGATTTATTTGTTTAGGAAAAGTATTATTACAACGGTAGTCAAGCATTTCCGGATAATATCTGGATTGAAATTAGTTAAAATGGATTTCTCCATTATCCTAATTTAGAATTTCGGATAGTAAAATTAGATATGTATATCAACATTGTATATCTCATGTCAAAAATACTGTCAAACTGAGCCTAACTAATGTCATAATTAGGGCGAGTTCTCAAATTCATTTGTAGGTTACAGATCAATTCGATAAATTCATATATTGGTTTATTCGAAAGCTCAGCGAGTTTCTATTCCCTCTCTATTGTAATTTGGCCATTGCTTCCTTCTCAGGCGCATTCGGTCAGAGTTTCTATCAGTTGAAGCAATCCATCGTAGCTTTCGTTCAATATAAAAATTTCCTTCAATCATCGCTAATTGGTTTATTAATGTTAACTGTCAAATCGGACTTCCTTTCTGATCGCGGGGGTGCCGATAACAATCGTCCTTAATGATGGCACGTGGATGTTGTGAACGGAGTGGAGTCCAAAAGAAAGTCAAGTTCGAATAAATATTGAAGTGATAGACGTATTGAGAGTACTGGCGGTAGCCTACGCCAATAACTAGGCTGGATGGAGACGGATTCGACGAAGACGTCATTGAAGTGTTTTTTCTCTGAGCTTTTTTTAAAAAGAAGTGAATAAAAAACTTAGGGTGGCAGCATTGCGTCGTGTACGATAGCTGCGCCCCTGGACGAAATTTCTGTTCACTGTGGAATAGAGGAGCCTGGCCAATTGCACTCGAATGAGAAGCGACGGCCATAGATATTAGAGAGGAAGAGAACTGTCAAATGAAGTGACACTTGATCCAAGCGATAAGTGATTGACAGATAAACCATATTCTGTGGATAAACAAACTAATTTTTTTAAGATATTGAAGGTACAGAAAGTCACGAATCGTTCACATTTTCAGGTTTAAAGGCAGACAAAAATCATCTTTTAAAATGGACAAAAGCAGATTCAGGAGTATGGAGGATGAAATGAGCAGGTGAGTTACAATTTTTCCATACCAGCAACTACTCATGTGAGAAAAACTTTTGGCTTCATACTTCTCCATCATTATATAGAAAGTGGAACACTTTTCAAGAAAGGAAGAAAAGATGAATTGAATCAATGAAGCTCTTCACAAAAATGTCTGGATCATGCAAAGGTGAAGTTTATTACAAAGGGAGGAAAAAGTCCATTTGAAATAACTAATTATAAATTTATGAACATTGAGTTACAGGAAAATCACTTTTTCTCATTCAGTTTGTACTGCGAACATTCGTAGTTGATTTGGCGCATTGTGTACAATATCTATTTAATCAACCAAGTAGGAGTATTCAGTAGACCTCTCAATATGAAAGTATTGATATGAAATTTCACTCACAAGGAAAACTTTCACTCTCCAGTTTCAGGTGAAAACACTGGTTCTCAAATACTTACCAGCACTTTTTTGAATAACTTTGAAAGATGATTTACTGAATCCTTGCAAAAACTATGATTTCATTTCACTTCCCAGTTTTTATATGATGATGAAGTAATGTGGAGCCATAATATTTTTTTCTAAAAATGATTCCCATTTCAATATACTGTTCAAGGTATTTAGTACACAATTTAGGTCGGGTTTCCATATTTTTTTACCTTTGATATACATCACTGAAATTATGAATAAACTCCCAATTCATTTTTCAAAAAATATTTTATAATTTTTCCAGATTTGAAGCTGAAATATCTAGTCAACAAATGATGGGTAGTTATGGCCCCACATTCATGAACGGATTCGGGGGAATACCTCCACCGCCACAACCTCCAATGTTGATTCCTCACCAGATACACCGGGGGCCCAGAAGGTATGATGTATATTCAGAGCCCATTACAATAGCCACTCCTCAGCCCGCAGTTGTGTCTGCAAAGCCTACTTTGTATGCCCCGCCGAAAATAACAACAACAACCACAACAGCAACGACACAGTCGGTGGATTTTATGGCTTTACAGTCTGAAGTGGAGAAAAAACTGAAAAAATTGAAGAACGAGAAAGTTAGCGCAGAGCTTGCTATTTCGCAAGGTGGGTCATATTTGCCAGTCTGATATTTCTAAAATTATTGGTTCTTGATAGGGTTTTCTTCAGTCCTACGTGTTTTTGTTCTTTGCCCTTAAAGTATATCATTTCCTGTAAAGTACATACTGTTATAAACACAATTGTTTATGAAACTGAATGCCACTTTCAGAATGGACTTTTTCCTTCTGTTTTGTTTTTTTATTCAAGATGTACCCTTCACAATTGATTCCATATTTGTAGCTTGTACAGCAGAAAAGTTTATAGAGGTTTTTATGTTTCAAAAACATTTAAAATGGGAATAAGAGGAATATGTCTAGATTGGTTCAAATAATTTCTCAAAAGCAAGAAAAAGGTAGTAAAAATTGTCAATGACTTCTAATATTTCTATGATAAATTGTAGGAGGTTCACCTTATATTTGTCTGTAACCTATTCTATTTTTATTGTTTCTAAACAAGTATTTTCATTTAATGAAATTTTCCTAGGCTGTATAGTATCAGTTAATAATAATGATAATAATTGTTTGCCAAATTAATGTTTATTGAATCTGTGTTTTGGTTATTTCAAGTTTTGCCTTTCATGTAAGGCACATTAAATCTTTTTGTCAACTGAACAAATTTTCAGTACTGATCATGAAACATGTAACCGGATCTCAATATTTCATATTTAATTGAATTTGCCTCTATTTTATTATTCTCTATTGTATTTTTCCAACACTTATTTTAGTTTCATGTTATGAATGGATTTAACACTTTCTGTACAATTTAACTTGTTAAAAAATGATGGAAGCATGGAATATGGTTTCTTGAAGGTGTATTATTTCAGTTGGCCGAATAGAAATGTATGTTTATTCTGTGTCTTGGCGTTATGTAATATTACTCTCTGAATCTCCTTAGCCGCACGCACCTCTAATCTATTTTCCTTTCTAGGAAAAGCCAGCAGTGCCCTCCAGTCCTTTGGCCCTGAAGACTACAAGCGAAAAGGTGGCCCGAAGAACAGGAAACTAATGAGAGTCGCAGGCGGGCAAACATGGGAAGACAATTCTCTGGCTGACTGGCCGGATGACGATTTCAGAATTTTCTGCGGAGATCTAGGCAATGACGTTACGGACGAACTGCTCACCAGGACATTCAATAAATTCCCTTCGTTCCAAAGGGCCAAAGTTATAAGAGACAAGAGAACAAACAAAAGTAAAGGGTACGGGTTCATTAGTTTCAAGGAACCCGCGGATTTTACGAAAGCCATGAAGGAAATTAACGGACGTTACGTGGGGAGCAGGCCAATTAAGCTGAGGAAAAGTACGTGGAGGAACAGGTGCATAGATGTGGTGAAGAAAAAGGAGAAAGAGAAAGCTGCTCTTGTCAATTTGCTGACATCGGCAACTTATAAGTGAGGCTGTAAATTGTTTGACTTGACGTGTACATAAACAGGACTTTGTGCGATACTGATAGAAGTGAATAAGCATTTTTTGTATTCTGATTAACATAGTGAATAAGTGTATACCTTTTCTTCTCATGCTTGGTATATTGGTGTGAGTAAATTTGTGATAAGAGAGTTTTTTATATTTTGGATGATCTGAAGAAATATGAAAGCATTGAAAATTTCAATTACTACTTTCTGAGGAAGTTTAAGAATACTAACGGTCACTGGAACCTTGTGGCAACTGATTTTTCTACTTTCCCTCAATGACATCCCTTAAATATCAGAAAGTAGTTTTGTCTCCATCCCCAATTACTCAAATATCAACCACGATATCAGTTAGGAAATTATCGACAACTTAATGTTTGGTACAGTGTTAGGGGACCGATCACATTTCTCGCGTCAAGAGTTTTCGACAACACAAAAGTGAATAGGGAAATCAGTGGTTTCTATGAGTCTTGGTTTAGAGATTGTCTGTAAGTGCACATTTAGTACATACACAGAAGCTGCCTGTAAAATAAATTGATTCTCAGGTATAGTAACTTTTGTACCGGCCGACAGGTGTCACAAGGAGTTGATTCTCCAAAAACTTCTACAGGCAGCAATCAATTGAACCATTGTCTAAGACAATGACTACTGAACACATATGTGTGAATTTTATATATACCACCTTTTCTTTCAATATAGCTTTATCTAGCGAGCTTCGAATGAAATTTTGGCATCCCTAACCATTGTACCAATATTTGATCAACGACTACTTTTACTTTTCCTAGCGCCTTGCATATTACATCTGGGGCTGCTTTTGAACTAGCTTTTCTATCGGTAATCCGTAGGTATTCAAAGAACGGATGAGGACTCCACTTCTTTATAATATACATGCTTTCTAAGTATTTCCATTAATATAAAAAACTTATTGAAAACCAAGTTAGCCGAAATTTTTGAAATGATGCTTTTTATTTGCTAGGGTATTAATATTCGACATTTTTATGAGTGATCATGGACTTCAATAAATAAGAATAAAGCATCTATGGGGTCGGCAGAAAAATCAAACTCTGCTTATCCAAGATAAACAAAAGTGATAACGCCCAGCAAAACTTGACGATTGATTAATAACTAGGCCATCACTGGAATTATCGGCACATTGGTGCCGACAGTTCAACATAATTCGCCCATTGCCTCTCATGTAGTGAAAAAAATGCATCGGCTGTCTGCCCCTTAATCGTTGTTAGACTCCTATTTTTTTCCAACTACTTTCCGTCAGTGCTACTACAAGGCAAAAAAAATTTGTACGAAAATGACAGATAAAAATGTATGATTTTCGCTATAATTGTATAGCATCAATGGTCGCCAACACTCTTCGGAATAATTGACAAGTGATGATGCAAAGAAGGAATAGAGCGATTAACGCATGCGCAGACACTCCATCGTATGTGAAATGTGAATATTCCGAAGTGATTATTATTATTTGCATAAATATTAATTGAAAATTCTGCATTCACTTATCTAGCTTCAGCTTATATTATGTATCAAATCAAATACAACAAAAATCTAGAACAAAAATCAAGAAGGGTGAGGTGAACTATCAACTATCATTCATAAACATTTATTTGAAATTCGTCTTTTCTCACTGTGGATTTATTTTTCTTTTAGCGTCAGTGGTTTTCGACAGATTTGACATTTGACTGATCTGAAAATTAAGTGATTTGTGCTCTGTGATTGTGATCTATGACTTCTATGACAGACGGACACGCGGGACAACGATTGTGGTGCACGCGGGACACGCCTATCATAATGAGACGGAAGACAGAGATAGACAGATGACTCGACTATCAAAGGACAAAGTGATTGAAATTTGTAAATATATAACCGTGGACTCGTTCGAATCAATGCAAAACCAAATGTATGCTTTTCGTTATTGTGGTATGCATGTACTAAAAAATATTGAATTGTATAGCAATTCATACAATTGTATAGCCAGGAGCAGCTCTGCTTTCCGTTTTTGTTTTTTCAGCCCAGGAGCATTGTAACATCATACGAAATCTGCACTCATACTCATTTTCACTTCGCACGATGTTGTTGTTCCATGGCAGTCGTATACAGCGTCGTTCTTAGGCGTTTTCTGGCGCTCTTGTATTCAAAACGTATTCGTCGGTGATTCAAATACATTCATTCTGGCTTTGAAATGATAACGTCACATCCACTATGATTTGAAACGTATTCATCATGATTCAAAATTAGCATGAGGTTTATTCTGAAACGAAATTTGACATTCCGTTACGTCAGTTGTTAGTTTCTGCTTTATTTTGATCGTTATAGTTTATAAAGTTCTGAAAACTTTTCATGAAATACGTTGTAACGATGTACAAAATAAAGCAGGAAAATTTTTACTTGCACAAATTCGGGTATAATTGACGTTAGAGAAAATTGAAAAATTTGTTTTTATAATTGAGTTTGACATGTAACACAAATTGAATTATTCCATTCTGGCGAATCTTATTATTGATGACGTAACTACGAATCGTTTTTGAAAAGACGCTCTAATACGATTAAACGCAAGAAAATACCTTTTGAGATTTTATTTTTGATACTGAATCTATTCATAAAATAAGTAGGTACTAATTTGTAGTAAAAAGTACCGTATCATTTGGGACACGTCTTCAAAATCTTTCTCATTTTGAAAACTGAAGTTTGTGTTTTGTCGAAATCGAAACAGTTGCTGTGTTCGTTTGGTGGAAATCCGTCATAACGGCGGGTTGTACAATACCTAGTTGAAATATTAACGAAGCTCAGATGGAATGTTTTGTTGTACAGTCTCCAGTCAACACTAATTAGATGTTGAATCAAGACGTTTGCTAACAGGCCAAATATGGTCGTTAAACATTATTAATCAAATGTTTATAACCTATAAGTAGCCATATCCATATTTTGTAAAGTATTTCTAATCAAAAGTGATTAGAAATACACCACAGATAATGATAACTTAAATGAATTAGTTTACATATATATTTATTCTAGATGACGAAACATTTTCAGAAATAGAATCAATCATTTTCAGCATTGGCCGGAAAGTGAATTATCACAAACATTAATTTATCCTGACCATTTTCCTTTATTCAGTAGATCTCATTGGCAGATTCGTTCGATATAGAAATAAACTTGGAAATATATATTGGAAACGACGTACGTTTCTTCAGGTTGATAAATATACACTTATTTTAGTGAAAACACTACGCCATCACAGTCATTCCTCAGTTATCACTGACTAAAAAAAACCAACCTGAAAATGGCAAAAATGCTGAAACGTACGTTGTTATTGTATCATCAAAAATGAATAAAGAGTATTTTTGATTTCATTTTTATATCGATCGAATTTGTCCAGGAAATCTAAAGAATTATAGAATTTCAACAAATAATTTGTTTATCCAAATAAATTATGCAAATGATGATTGAAAATACCACTCCACAACTACTGTCTCCTACAACGAAGTAACTTTTGACTACATGCAGTTTTCAATGAACCTTTTTCCTGAAGTACAAAAAATTACTCACTAGCAGCACTAGTAGTTCGGTAGGGACAAACACTGCCCAATCCTCATATAAACATATGGTAAAGTAATAGGCAGGTTAGTATACAGACTCTAGTAAAAGAGTAGCGGTAGATTCAAACTGTAATAAATGAAATTAAAAATTATTATGAATTTCAGATTCATTTCCGAGTGAAATATGAATCAAATATAGATGGTAATGAAATGAATTTATTTGAATATAATAAATGAATATGATTTAATAAACGATTGAGGTTATCTCATTTTTATCAATGGTAATTAACGATGGACAATTTACTATTCTTTTCATGTTTACATACATAGGTATGAATATTTATTTATTTTTGGCACTGTTAAATCCACTCTCCTCTAAACATGTATCTATTTCTTACATCTAACCTCATTAATATGAGGTTTTATAAATGGTATATAAAACACGTTTTCTTCCGGATATCGATTACCCGACGTACAATTCGCAAAACAGCAATGCTTTGTTGGCATTATATTAGCACAAAATAATTTTTTAAATGAGATTTATATTTTTAAATAATCAATTAATATTACGTAAATAACACTGTTTTACATGTGAATAGTTTGTTTGTCCCTACTACTAGTGCTGCCTCTCGTGACACGTTCGCTGTACTATTCTCAGGAAAAAGGCTCATTGACATAAAAACGAAGAGGAATCAGAATGATCAAGATATGAATGCATGAACATTCAATTTTTAAGAGTGAAGTTCTCACGCCAAGGTTCAAAAACAGGCACTTTTCTCAATCATCAGAAATGCAATATCCTTTTCGACGCGTGGTTCAGCAACCAAGTTGGCTTACTGTTGAACTGTCTCTCGACGCGTTAACCAAGTCAGAATGGTTGGAGACGACTCACAAGAAATTTCACAACTGAGTTAGAAACCTTCGTGCATATCTAGTGTTTTCATCAGATTTATTTTACGTCAGATGTCCTAAATTCACTTACCTGAATTACAACTGTGGAAGTAATTTTCTCCGTGTATTGATAAAGAACATGGAAGATAGTTTCATTCATCTTTAATACTAACAAATGATACAATAATTACAAATATAAAATATTATACCTATTTTAACATTCATAATTTTACATTTATTCTCAACAAAAATTTACAATTTTTACAATGAACACTTATAAGCAAATGGATAACAATTTTAGAACAATATTGTGATATATCAGAACAACGGGAAATTATCCTGATTTCACCAAATGGTAATTTCTATTGATGACACCCGACATCAAAAGACAGTTACCTCAAGAGGAATATTGAAAATTAGGAGCGGTAACTGGCCAAACCATCAATTTTGAGGCAAGGGAGCAAAAGAGAGAGATATACGATATTTATGTTGGCAGAACACCAAAATCTGTTTAAAAATAAAATGTGTTTCAGTGTTCTAAATAAATAATTTTGAGTGTTCCGCTTCTGTGTTAACGCTAAAAAAGCCAACGAACCTTTCGTACCATATAATAATATTCATTTACCAATCTGGTATTTTTTGACACATGACATTCACACACCAGTCATGTAAGTAATATACATTTATCACTAAAATATCTTGGAG